TTGAAGTTTCCTAATAAATTATTAGGTTGATTAGATAGGGTTGATGGGGCTGCATGTGTGATTTATAGGAAATTATGTTTAATGTTGCACTTTTATTGTAAAGAAGGGGCTTTTTACACAATTCAGCGTCTTATATTGTAATTGTGTTTTGGCAACATATAAGAAATGTCATGCCAATGAAGCTTATTGAATTAAATTGAATTAAAAAACTGACTGAAAATGTGACAAGGTGAACACACTGTAATATTGTAGTATGTTTGACAACCACAAATGCTGTGTCAGCCACTAACAGTAACATGCTGACAAACAACATAAACAGAAAAAATGCTAACTACACCAGATTAAGAATTTCTCAATGGGGGAGAAAAGGTAGATCTGCTTCCTGTCCCTATTCAGAATTTTTTTTAACCTTTTATATGGGTAAACAATATTAAACAAAATATTAATCATAGCAAAGCATAGCATAGTATTTTTATCCAATATAGTGTGTTAGCATGGTAACTTATTGTGAGCATCTTAATATGCAGACACATTTAGCTCAAAGCACTGCTGTGCCTATGTAACATCACAAATCTCCTAGCATGACTGTAGTTTTGTTTAATAATTGATTGAATGACTGTAATATGAAAGCCTTCACTCCTTTTGACACAGGCCTTCTCCAAAAATGATCCCTGTTAATATCTCCCTAACATTAGCTAACATTAGCCACCATTGGCTGTGTTTATTTCTCATTTCAAAAGCTGCATATTCTTATTTTAATGAGCAAAATAACAAGCACAAGACTACATTTCACTCGTTATCTTGCCTTGCTATCTTCAGTCTAACATCATGTCTGTGGCCATTTGTGCCTCATGCTGTACAACTGCGTTTAAATGGGGTGGTGTCATTATGAAGAAGTTACATGACTGTAGATTGTGTCATAGTGCAGCCGTTTGGGTGCCTCATCAAAGTGCAGTGAAGCTTCCGCTCCATATTTGTATGTAACCCTAAACTGCTGTTATTTCGGGCTTAACTATCTAAAAACCATCTCAGAGACGTTACTATCAGTGTAGTCACAGGAAGGCCTGTGGTAGAACAGGAAAGAAAACAGGAAGTGACTGCAGTCAAGCCACAGGTTGTGTTGAGGCGACCTGCTTGTCCCATTGGTGACTGCCTCGTTTGTTGTGGAAGCCCAGATTGAAAAGCAGTCCATCTGACGTCAGTGCAGTCGCTGAATGGGGATGACTGATGTTCCCAGGAAGAATTGAGGAAGTTGAAAACACAGTATAGCTGCTTTGAAACAACATCCACCATCACCTCTGATGTACTATTGTGAAAAAACTTGGTTCACAGACCTGACTGGGTGAACTGGTAAGGGTTGCTGCTGGGATACGTTCAGTATGTACTGAATGTATCTTGGCTCTACCTAAGCAATATGTCAGATACTGTCCAACTGTACTTTATATTTACACCTCAGGTCATGGAAGTGGAGTGAATGTCAACTGACTGCAAAGCTTAAATGCTTAATTGTCTTCATGATAATACATTGTGGAGTTAATATTTAATCTGGGCTCATTGTTGTATTGTTGTCTCTCACTCAGTATGTTTACATGCACAGTTAAATAAGTAGAGATATTATATTGTAATTGGACTAGACTATTTAGTTGGACTACTGTCCTTGTCCCAGTATACAAGCATGGGAGGGGAATTGATTTACTGACCCAAGTATATCCAACTCTGCTACGACAGGTGGCGATATGCTCCCTTTGAGCTTGTCAGTATTGGACCTTTTTCTGGTTGACCTCTTACGTCTCAGACCAAACAACTGATAAACAGGTTAGCTATGGTAAGTTAGCAGCAAACTGGTACCATGGTGGACAACTTTATAGCTCTGTACATCCAAAAATGCACTCCTGCATTTCTGGGTCAAAGCCTGGGGCAGAAACTGTGAAGCATGCACAGAGCGCCTAGGCCAGTTTGGGTTCGATTGATTGTATACATGAAGGAGTAATTGGACTCCCAATCACATTGTCTGGGTGTGTTAGTCCGACCTTGAGAAATTCGATTTAGTATGATTTCAGTCAGACAAACGTATTCACATGTATTTTTTTTAAAAAAATGTCCAGTTTTAGTCGGACTAACACAATGAATTGATTTCTCTAATGTCATGTAAACATACTGAGTGTGCAACTATAGCTAGCTTTTTGAGTTGTTGATAGTAAATAAAAAGTTCAATGTAAATAAAAAGCTCTGTGATTTATGTCAGAATGAATTAAGTCCCTTTGTGTTGGATTTGTACATTTTTGTCTTTGTGTCTCTTAGTGATAGTATCAAAGAAGATAGTTCACCCTTACAATAAGCTGGTTTATAAGACACAGTCAAAGAATAAGTCTGTAGTAAGGAATACCGCTATCAGTTTCACTCTTGAACTCACCTGGGGCCTGTCTGGGACTGCCAGTAGGAAAGAGCTCCCTCTCCAATACTATTTGTATTGATTCCTGTGCTGTGGAATCAATACAAGGTTAAAGCCAAGGTGAAACAGCAGGCTGAACTAATTATAAGTCTTCATCATCAAGATAGCACACTGAGCAGTTGGATATATGCCCAGGTTTTCTTATTTTGATGGGGCAAGCAGGTGGCAGAGCTCCAACAATGACTTAGTGTCTTCGAACTGTGTTTTATGGAAATTGATGTACGTGACAGATCAAACAACAATGGACTTCAATCTTTCTTACTTATTGAGATTTACCAGCCCATTCTCAATAAATGTGCTCATCACAGTCTAGCTGAAAGTCTTGTTGCATGATTACTGCATATTGGTTTTCTGAGGGCGTTATGTGGCATGTCTGAGGGTATTGTGTTAATTAATGTAGAGCCATTTTGCAATGTTGTGCAAAAACACAGTATGCTTCGTCTGGGACATAGAGCAGCATGATACCAGCTGTGTGAAGGCACAACATCCAGTGTTTCAAAACCACAATAGTGCACTCTGCTACAGAAGAGATATACTCCTATCTGTCATGAACCAAGGAGCTGACATATTACCTCGACTGACTTTAGAAAGAGGTGAATTTAGAGAAATGTTTTGACTTTGATATACTTTGGACGTTAATGAAGTGATTTAGAAAGCAAATTTTGGTCTAGAAGGCGCTTCTGTGTATGTGTGTGTGTGTGTGTGTGTGTGTGTGTGTGTGTGTGTCTTTGTGTGCACAGTCTATTCCTCATGATGCTGCAGTGCACCACTGCAATTGGGTCCCATTTTCACCCAATAATAACATGTGATCTGTATCTGGATGTTATCTAGATAATGACATCCCATCCACAGGCTTTTGCATTTACACCTGGTATTAATAAGGAGATTTTAAAATTAGCTAGGCGGGCTGGTAGACAAACATAGCACAGCACATCCGAGGTCAAGGAAAAAAATGCCATGGACAGCCTTCACTCATTTATGAGTGACTTTTTGCAAGGGAAGACATGCGGGTTACCTCTACTACTTGTCGCTTTTGCCTAACTAGCATGAATTATCAGGAATAGGCAGTGTAAGGTGACCTTTCAAAGTTTTTTCATTAAGAACGAGGTCATGCTGTACAGATGTGAGCCATACCATCTCCATCTGGTCAGTGTGATCACATTCCGATCACAAGGCACTCTGCGTGCAACACCCTCTACACCTTGGATTAACCATTTCTCCTTATCCAGATAAGAGATGATTAGGGACGTCAGTTTCTATTATTTTGCTTTCGATAGCTTGACACCCATTAACCTGTGTCTAACTGGTTAGTTTTTACATAAAAAATGCAGAATGACGTGAAATACAAGAGGCCTTTGCTTTTAGCCTGACCCTCTATTGACTCAGTGACCTTTAGCACTGCATTTCGAAGCAACATCCATTCAGAGGGGTTCATTTTTTTATGTTTTGTGATGTGAATGTTTGGCCTTTCATTTTATTTTCTGTTGGCTCTGTTGACAGACGGGCCTCTGGCTGCGTTAACATGCAGAAACATAGCACCCACTGCCCCACCCTCCGGTCTCCATTGGTCTCTCGGCTAGCCTTGGCCGCTCTGCACTGTGCACTACCCAGGTCAAGTGGGAGCTAGCTTTTGTGTCTCACGATTACTGTTGGTAATTTTGGGCTGCAAAACCCTTTTAGCATTGTTAAGTTTGTTAGCACCACTAGTTGTGCTGACACTGCTAACGGTGCTAACAGAGTTAAGAATGCTAAAGGGGTTTTGCAGCCCAAAATTGAGCTGCTTACTTATTGTGGCAACCTGGGGGGAGATTGTATGATGGGCACAATGTTTCCACAGCAACACTGTTGGGTCGGGAGGGCATTACTAGCGGTAATACCTGAATGAGTGGCGCCGCTACCTAGCTCACACCCGACCCTGGTAGTGGCCAGACAGACCAACTGGTCAAATATATACTTAGCCTGTCAACTGTTGACATTTCTAAAACAGATACAAGTCATATGTTAATGTATGGTGTAAATTGGGTTTTTAAGTCTTACTTTGTCTCTGCTCAACAGTATCAGGAAATGTGATGTTCCTGGGGGTTAGTCTGAGAATGGCCTTGATTACCAAGAAGAGCACAAAAACAGATGTTCGATCTGTTTCCCATCTTCCCTTTGCAATGTTGTAGAAATGTAGAAATGACTTATTGATGTCATGGACTGGGTTGGATTGAAGTGTCTTTCTCTACCAGGTTACAGAGTTTCGTGATAACGGCCTGTGGTCATGTTAACCTTGATCTATGATTCAGGCAATATATCAGCATGTTACAAGCTCTCTCCCAAGGTGTGCTTCTAAGTTGTTTCTGATGTACAAGGGCATCCATCCAGTAGAAGAACCTAGACACAATAGTTGAATATTGTATGTATAGGTCCTTCTGTGTATGGTTTTGTGTGTGCATATATGTACATCTACAACATCCTCCTCTGCTGACAGATAAAGTATGTTTCTGCATTAACAGCAGGGTATTACATTTATTTATTACACTGACTATATTTTCATCCCTTTCAGGCTCGTAACATCAGGACATCTGAACTGGCAGCTATCAAGATTGTCAAGCTAGACCCTGGTATGTTACACATGACACAACATGCCCACAACTACTTATTTGCAAAACAGCAGTTAAAGGTTGATCTTTTTTTTCTAAAATTATTTTTTTCTCTATTGTTTGAATTTAATGACAGGAAGGACAGGAAGAGTTTAGCAATGTCCTCTTGTTTCCAGTCTGTGCAAAGCTAGGCCTATGTGTGAGTGCTAAGTACTACTTGCTAATAAAGTTAAAAAAAAAAAAAAAGAAAGATGAGTTGATGACATGTCTTTGCTTAGAGATTAATTTTCTGTTTACTTTGTGCAGCTATTCGTTAGACATTTATGACACAATCTGACATACCTCCAAATTCATAGTGTTCAGTTTCACACAGATTGTGACCAAGATTACTATCATTATTAAATTTTGTCATCATTTTCCAGACCTATTTTTCATTGCTGGCCATACAGTGAGCCAGTAAAAGTGTTGACATTACACAGTGTATTTTTCTGTTTCTTTAATTTCATTTTTCATCTTACTCCAGGCAGGATAACAAGCATACATTTTTTTCCAAATTGTCTGATTGTGATTTTTAAGTGTAAGGTTTTTTTTTTAATTAAAGGAGCTCTAGACAATATTCAGAGCAATAAATAGATGCAAACTACAGTCTGCTATGTAAAAATGTAGTGGAGTAGAGAATGATGTGTGTTGTAATCTGAGCTTCTCTGTGGTTTGTTGTTGTAGCCGTGCTGGCCACACGTGCATGTTAGTGCATGTGAGTCACATACCCCTTTTCCACCAAAGCAGTTCCAGTGCTGGTGTGTGTGTATCCCACTGTCCAACCAATTGCTGCAGCTCTGCGCTGCCCTGCGCTGCCTTGCACTCATACAGCGGTTAACATCAGTAACGGGAGAGAGTCCTTGCAAAAGCATAGAACCAATCCTCTGGATCTTCCCGTAGCTTAACACCGTTAGCTCTGTCAGCACTGTTGCAGTTGTAAGTGCTTTTAGCACCGTTAGCTGCTAGCCACCGCCTTAGCCACCTCCATGTGATTAGCCGTGTAAAGAATAACTCTGAATTCATTCAATTCATTGCTCTGAATATTGTGTAGAGCTGCTTTAAAGAAAAGGTATATATTATTTCAAGTCTATGCAAAAACATGGCTGACATGATCATAAGAGGGCTGCACAATATGAGGAAAATATGCAGTAAAACAGTATTACTTGCAATAAATAAACAGATATTAAAGTATACTCAGTTACTCATACCTCTCTCCAGTATACACCTAGCTTCGGACGTTGCCAAAGTATATGGGTGTGATTGGCAGTGTATGTTCCACAGTTTCTCCAACATGAGCTGGCATGTGTTGGGCCCATTTTAGATATTATTTCTGGTGATTCATAGATGAAAATATTTTGTACACTTCACTAATTTTTTCTTGTCTCCATTTCCCATTCGTATTTTTCTTATAAAGTTTTCTATTGATGTTTTATGAATTTACCCTGCTGATTAGGTATTGTCAGAAAAGTTCTTAGCTGCAAGTATCTAAAGAAAGCTGTCCAGGGGAGATTGAAATCATTTTTTTAACTGCTTGAATTTCTTAAGATTATGGTTGTTAAACATTTTGGGTACAAATTCCTGCTTTATGCATTCAGTAACTCAACAGGTACTCATTTATTTTGACCTACATAATCTGCTGAAGCTTCATACTAGCTTTCACTGAACTCGGGAAGGCATTTTTGATTTAAAAAAGGACAATGGATTTGTTCTACATCACTTACATTAGAATACTGAACAGTAGGAACAATTACAGCAATTGATAACTCCTTTATTGTACCTATGGGCTTGTGTGTATTGTTTAAACACAGACTTGGAAAAAATCTGAACCTATCCTTCAATAAATTATTAATATATAAAGTATATGTAGGCTATATTTATGTGGTGGGAGGAGCAAAGCCAGCACAATTCAAGCATTGCATCTTACTCTAATTGTATTTTTGCACTTCTTCAAATCTGTAGTATCATACTGGTAGTGATGCTGGTACTGATAAGCAGCAGTGTATCATAACACTCCTACATACAATGATGTTAAGTGAATGGTATGTCAGTCTCATATACTACCAGTACTCCCACTACTCTAACCCTACAGTGTACTGGTCTGTAATTGTCCCTCCAGCTGTAGGAGCTCAGTGCACTAACACCAGACTGTTGTGAGAGGAGACACTCACTAAACTGTCTGTCTGTCTGTTCAGGCGATGACATCACGTCCATCCAGCAGGAGATCACAATGATGAAGGAGTGCAAGCACAAAAACATTGTGGCCTACTTCGGCAGCTATCACAGGTACTGTGTGTTTTCAGCCTGTCCACTGCAGATGTGTGGGAGTGCTGGGATTGTTGGTGGACTTAAATATGTGGAATTTGACTTTTCTTATCCCCACACTGCTGCTGGATTCCTCTCCCACTCCTCTAGTGCTCAGTTAGATTGTTGGCACAGCAGCTCATGAATGACACTACTGTATTTGTGGGCGTTAATTTAGTTAGAGAATATTAGGGAGTGTCTTTTGAGTTTTGCCTTTGGATACTGAATTCTTGTGAATGCTTCAGTGTTGTTTTTCACAACCCCTGCACAGCTGGAGATAAGCACAGCATATGTCAAACAACAAGATAAAAGCTGTGTATTTCTTTCCAGGAACACCAAGCTGTGGATCTGCATGGAATACTGTGGTGGGGGGTCACTTCAGGATATGTACCATGGTAAACATACAAATAATTCTTAAGAACTCAGAATTTAAGCCTTGTAGTATGTCCAGTTTTAGTATGATCTGCAGCTAATTGTAAAAAAGTGCTGCATACCTATTTAAAGAAACAGTAACAATGTTGTTCTTTCGTCTCTTACCCAGAGCAAGGTGAAAAAGATCCATGTTTCACAACTGTATGTTCAGTACAGAGAAAGTGTAGCATTCATGTCATGTTGATACAGTGGGCAGAATGGGAAAACCTCTTGTTATTCCACCTTGGGGTACCTCTATTGCTAACCTGTAGCAGGTAAAAGGTAGAGCAGATACAGTGTATGGCTTCTTTTTAATCTTATTTAACTACCATCATTGTATGGCTTTTACTTGTGAACCAACTGCTACAAATATGTCTTAGGCCTACAATAAACAAGCCAATTTAGGCTACTTAGTACTAAGGTTGAGCAGAATACTTGGATGAAATGAGTTTCCCATGCAGCTAATGTACTCTTTATGAGCACGACAATCATCCAAGTAAAATGTGTCAGTATCCATGGCAGCTACATGTATGGTTTAGGTGTGTGTCACAGAGAGGTTCATTCAAAACAACAATGGTGGCTCCTAAAGAGGTTAGTACAGATGCTTCAATAACGTCAACTTTATCAGAACTTAAGAGTATTTCTGAAGGCTTTTCACCACAGAAAATTTGCTTTCACTCTTCTCCTAACTGGCTTAGGCTTTGTTGACCTGATTGGTTGGAGTTGGCCAATGATAGATCACTTGCCAAGTGCTTTTGAAAGTGCTTGGCCTTTAATTCTGAGGCTGTTATGTATTCTTTAACAAAAAACAATAAATATAGTAACTTCTGATCAACCGATGACTATTTTAGGCTTAAAATAGCAACTTCAAATTAGGTCCCACCCACGGACAGTTTAAGTCACACCCACTTTTGGTTTAAAGGGACAGGTCACCCCAAAATCAACGATTCGTATTTGTCCTCTTACCTGTAGTGCTGTTTATCAGTCTAGATTGTTTCGGTGTGAGTTGCTGAGTGTTGGGGATATCAGCTGTAGAGATGTCTGTCTTATCTCCAATATAATAAAACAGATGGCACTCGGCTTGTGGTACTCAGGGCACCAAAACAATATACATTAACCCTATGGGCCCGAACGACGCACAGTGCGTCCAAATTCACACCTGTTCTTCTCTGTGGATTTTCTCAGCGACCGTGCATCATAGTGAGAAGCCACGCATATCAGGTGAAACAGCAGAATCATAGCTTTCCAACAAGACCAAGCACTTGTCGGTAATACAGTGTTTTCACAGCGGAAAAAATGATAAATTTTCACTAAAATTATGTATAACATACAACTCTGCACACACATTACTCTTGGATGGATTACTCGCGAATGCAGGCTCGCACAGAAATGCCACGCATATCACATGAAAGCGCAGGAGCAGATCTTTCCAGTGATATCACACACATCATTGTGCTGTCATCCCATCATGCTATAAATCCAGATTAATTGTCTACAAAATAAAAACCTGAGGAATTTCTTTACAATCCATTATACAGATCTTGTTATCAGTCACTTCATATAGTGAGGAATATCGTATCTTACCACGTCTTAGGCTTGCGTGTGTTTCTCCCTGTCTATCCACATTTGTAGTCCGGCTTTCAAGATGCAAATATCTCCAATGCCCAAAATGCCCCCCAATATATAACTGAAACTGAAAAACAACAACAAACTTTGTTTACTGCAAACAAAGTGGCAAATATTATCTTGGAGGACATCATTGCAGTTGGTTGACTATTTTTCTATGATCTTAGATGTAAATATTGCATGTTTCTTTCAGATAAAAGACATTTTTGACTTGTGAATGAGTCAATGGAATTTCTTGCAATAATGAAAAAATATTGGCAGTTATGTCCGCCTGGCACAAACCACATGTTTTGGACAACTGTGAAGTGACAGAATGTCCCACCATCATGGTTCTTATATTGCCAGATTCCAGAGAGTCTCCCCTCTTCATATATGGCAGAATATGTCTTTTTCCAACTTGCTATGGTGAGATACATGTAAAAATGTAAGAATTTAGTCACACGGATTTGTTTTTTTCATTGATTTAAAAAATAATATAAAATACAGGCACATAGTAGGACATGAAATGATGGCAAATCTTGTTAGCCCAGATTGTCCTGAAAAAAAAACAGGATATAGCATGTGTATGTAGCCTTTAGAATGACTGTGATATGAGCTTAAAAGTAAAGGCAGTAAAAATACCCCAAAAACTCTTAGGGCCCATAGGGTTACAGAAACTCAACAGCAATGTCTCTTTGCAGAAATCATGACCTGGTTACTCAAGATAATCCACAGACCTTGTTGTGAGCAGTTTCATGTAGGAAGAGAAAGTTCTTTCTTCCAAACTACACACACTTACTGTATCACTAAACAGAAGGAAGTGTGCATCTACTCATGGATGAGAGGCTCGTGCTTGTGACAGAGCGAGATGTAAACATTAATGGCTTCCTCCTTGGCTGAGCTGTAGCTGGCTCAGTGGTGCTTGGTGAGCTAGCAATAGATGCATGCTTCCTTCTGCGCGTTGATACGGTTGGTGGGTGTAGTTCTGTCAAAAGTAATAAGTAACTATTCAGTATAGTCGGGTAATATTATTACATTTACAATGTAGTGTAAGGCATTACCACTGGAAATAAACAGTTTATTGTTTTCATTTTCATTCATCCACACTGATCCACACCACACCACTTCTGTCGTATATACACTACCCTATAGAGGGGTGCCGGTAATCGTGTGCATTATCATGTCCAGTGTGTTTTCATTCATATACCTACACTATCCCGTGACACTTTCCTAAGGCTGCCTGAAAGCAGTGGGGATAAGGAGCTGGCCTGTGCTTTGTTTTTTTCCATATCTCGGGGATCGACATGTTTGGGTGATGTTAGTATATGTTAGATGTGTTTCCATTCACATCACCTACAACTGCAGAGCAACGCCGGCATCCCACCTTGTTTTTATACACAGCTCTTTCTCCAGTGTTGTTGTTGCTGACCGGGAACTGGCAGATGGGTCCTCCAGCTCCGATGGATTAATTTGCGTTCGTTATAGTGACTTAATCACACGCCATACCACTGTATGTGAATGCATGAATGGGTCAGACCTGTGCAGCACTGGATTTGAAATGAACTGTAATAAACTGGAGCTTCTTTGCTTTGATTATCTGCTGTGACACAACATGACCCTCATCCATTTAATCAACATTACATCTGGTTATTTTGGTGAAAGTATCGCAAAAGTAGTTTAATAACTAACTTATTACTCTACACAGAGCGTAATACTGTTAAGTAACTTATTACTTTCAAATGAAGGTAACTAGTAATATGTAATATATTACATTTTGAGAGTAACTTGCTCAACACTGTCAATAGCACTACAGGTAAGAGGCAAAATATGTGTTAGTGATTTTGGGGTGAACAGTCCCTTTAAACTCTGCCCATTCAGACTGAGGGTACAGATAGAGATAGTTTAGTTGGTTGAAGACATTTAGCTTCATTTAATGGTGCATTGCTCAACCCTAGGAAAGGGGCTAGCCGTCAGTTTGCAGCCAGGTTTGTTGACATCTTTGTAGTTCTTTTCACCAAGTGGAAATATCATAGCTGTAAGAAATTCTCACTATCTGTGACACAGAATTACCACGAGAAAGATATTTTTACCTACATGGCTGCTTGTATTACCAGACTTTGCATTACATAAATGGGTTTAGCCTAACTTAGGATAAATGGAGGGAAATGTCCAGCCTAGTTTTGTCAAAAAGAAAACACCCCTTCAATCTGTTAATAAAATTCTATTTGTGAACGTTCTCAGTAAAGAAGATAAAGCATATAAATGGAACAGATTTGGAGTTGTTTGGACGAAGCTTTGTGAGCATTGCTTCCACTGATTCTAATCTTTATGCTAAGCTAAGCTAGGCTAAACATGCACTGGAACCGTCTCTAGATGCAAACTGTTCTTCTCACTGTCCTTCTCATCTGGCTCTGGGTAAGACAGCAGACATGTTTCCCAAAATGTCAGACAGTAATCACCACGTTCATTTTCAGACATTAGTATAATTACTGTAAAGCAGATGTGGACGCACAGTGAGCTCTGCAAAGCCAGTTGAACACTATTTTTGGAAATGTACCTGCAGGCTGTGTGAGCTATTAATCAAACTGTTCTCCTCAGTGACGGGCCCATTAAAGGAGAAACAGATAGCGTACGTGTGCAGAGAAACCCTCCAGGTAAGGCTTTTAGTGTGAGTGGCAGCTTGTTGCTGTTGCATTGTGAAATTTCTAAAGATACTCTCCTGACAGAATGACTCATGTGTTTTTTCCCAGCCACAGAAGAGCTAAATAGTATTTAACCTCGCCAGACCACTAAATATACTGTAGAGGTAAATGTGGCTGCAGCTCAACAGAACGTGCCAGACTGCCTGTAATTTGTTAGTGAGTGACCTTCAGCTCACTGTTTGTTGGATGATCAACAAAAACATCAGAGTTAAAAAGGAAGAAATCCCAGAGGTCATCTTAGTTTAAAAAATCTTGGAGAATTTTTATTTTCTTCTTAGCACTCTCAGTGTTTCCACCTTATCTAAATAGACTGATGACTGTGAGTGATGAAGGAGCTGAACGGTTCACTGCCTTTGGATTCATCATAGTAATCCTCTGCAGTCTAACTCGATATACAAGCATTCTTGTGTCCCTTTGCTCTTTACTTCCTCGTGCCTTCTTGGAAATTCTACACCATCCCTCTGTTTGGCTTTTAACTTTCATCCAGAGTGTTACTATGTTTTGCAGTGTGCACCAAAATACATCATTACATTACATCAGTTAAACCAAGATCAGGTTTTTTGAGTTGAATTTGGTTTAAAATGGTAGAAATCACATTTTTATCAAGTTGTGCTGGATTAAGTATAATGATCCGTCCAACCAATGTAAAAAAGATGTCTTATTACTGACTTAAAATGGCACCCAAATAACACTACTATAGCTACATGCAGTTACATCTGCATGAATAAATATCATATGAACACATTAATCCAGGTATAAAATTAAAGTCCAGTGTGTTAGATTCAAGGGGATTCAGTGGTGTCTAGGGGTGAGGATTGCAGATTGCAGCCAGCTGAAACTTCTCCTGGTCAGAATTTCTTTTATTGTTCAGGAGGTTTTTACTGGGATCCAAATTATCCACAGAGGTCTCTTCCTCTCCAAAACAAACGGACCAGGTGATTTAAACCAGTTAAAAAAAAACAATAAATAAAGCTGTTTCACAATAAAATCAGTGTTTCTACTACCCTGTCCAGCACATCAGAGACGACCCGCTTGCCCAGTCTCTGCTAATGTGTGCTCACCTATTTTCTCTGATGACACAAGCCGCATCTTTAACCACATAAAAAACAGTCTATGTGTCTATGGGAAAACGTGAGGTCGGGTGCTGGGCCCTAGTCTTGAGCATACTCTGTGCCAACTGTCAAGGGCACGGAGGCAGGTTGTGCCTGAGGTTGCTAAGCGACCATAACCAGCACCGTATCAGAGACTACTTACCAGAAATCCTGAGTGCAGAGCTGATCTTCTTCCAGTTGTTGTTTTGTAAGGGTGTGTATGTAAAGCTCTGGCAGCCCTGCACTAAAAAGATTAACCTCTTCTCCATGTTTATCACAAACTGATATTCATGGATGAAGGGTTGAAGGGTCTGCTGGCGGTGATTGGTTGTTCCTCATTACATGGCATGCGGTGCATGCTGTTGCATTCCAAAAGTTGAACTCTGTTTATCTCAGGGTGCAGCAGTTATGCCCTGAAAAATAGGCACGTTGGAATGCATGTGCACCACAATGGCATCGTTTTGGCGTTTGAACACACCAGCCATGTGTCTGCATTGCAGACAGTGAATTTGAGGGCTCTGCAGAGGTCTCTTCCTCTCAAAAACAAATAGACCAGGTGATTTAAACAGGTGAAAGCACTGAATAAAGCTGTTTCACATTTTAAAAAATCAGTGTTTTCCAACCTTCTAGAACAATTATTATGACTAACACAAATTAGTGATTTGCGAATGGCCCTATTTAGAGCCAGTGTTTGGTTTGTCTATTTTGGACTACAATTGAAACATGGCAGTGCAACATGCCGATCTCCGTAGACGAGGACCTGCTCCCTATGTAGATATAAACAGCTCATTTTAAGGTAATGGAAACACAATGATTCTTAGTTTCAGGGGATTATACACTAAATATACATATTTACTATATTATATTCCATTTCAGCAAGTACATCCACCTAAATCCTGCAGACTGGAACCTTTAAAATAAAAATGTTTACATAAATTAGTGTATAAAGATGGATTAATAAAGTAATTCATAATTTTATCTAGTTTGAAAGATAATCCTAATCCTTGATGCAATTTACATTTAGTGCTACACTGTTGTGATCATGCTGAGCTATGAGGCACTGGTAATACTACAAGTTGCACTGCCATTGTTACAGTACTAGGACTGAAGGAATTATTCACAACTTTTGCTTTAAATGAAATGATCAATAAGAAATACTAATAGGTTCTCTATCAAATCTAGTTTAAAGGCCTAATATATGTATTTTGGTTTACATTGTGCTCTTGTGGTGCATATTCTTAACTTAAACTGTATTTAATCAAATAACCTGAGGCCAAGTAGTATTCCAGCATAGGAGAACTGGTGTTGGGTGGTAGAGGGGGTTAATAGGGGTCAAACATCACCTTTTTGCTTGTTTAATCCGGCCCCGCTGTTCACTTGTTGACAGCCATAAAATAAGAAATAATAGTGGATACAAAGCTCAGCTAATTTTTTTCTTCTTCTTTTTCCAGGGTTTGTATCACCTGCACGAAACTGGCAAAATGCATAGAGACATAAAGGTACAGCAGTTTTTTTAAAGCTTTGTTAAGTTATGACTGGAAAACTTGGTCTCATAGAATTTGTGAAGCGGACATGACCTCTTAGTGATGTATTACGGGTGGTGGACACAAAATGTGTTAAAATGACGTGCTGGCAACTTAAAGACAACACCATTGCAAAGTCAGTAGGGATCTTTTGCCATGGTGGATACACAAAGTAAATGTAAAGAGTGAGAAAGTCCATACAGGGCAGCTAGGATTTGTGGTAGATGGGTCAAACAAACATGAACTTTCAACCAAGAGACTGCTGCTTGTCTCCGTCAGAGTAGTTATGTAACTTTTTGGACTTTACGTAACTATACAAACTATGAAAGTTTATGTCACCCATATCCTGTATATAGTTATTTTAACCAAAACCACAATCTTTTCCTGAACTTAACCAGGTACTCTTTTGTTCCCTTGTTGCCAGCCATTTCATGCCCACCATGACATAATGTGTTGTTCTTGTATTCCTGTGACAATGTGTTGGACTGTATAATTGTGATCATATGTTATTATACTGTGGGCTTACATCAGCGTGTGTGTTCTCTCTGCAGGGAGCCAACATCCTTCTGACAGAGAGAGGAGATGTAAAACTGGGTCAGTGGTGATCAGTAATGGATGCACACGTTTACATCTGTAGTATCTCTTTAACTACTCACACTCATCAAGTGTGCTTAAATAGGCCATCTATAATGGATTTCAGCCGCTCAGCTCCACTGTGACCCTGTGTGTCTCTTGTGTTGCAGCTGACTTTGGAGTGGCAGCAGAGATCAGTGCCTCCGTAGCCAAAAGGAAGTCTTTTATAGGAACTCCCTACTGGTAAGATGAATGAAGCTGCACTCACCTGAACAGTGTGTGTGAGATAATTAACATGAACACACACTGTAGTTTATTCTGACTCAGTCACTCACACACCATCCTGCTGACACACTTTATAAGGATTACAGTGGCCTGCTATATTAAGATAGTACTGATTTTTTAAAAATAAACTCAATTAATATAAGGAAATAAATGTGTAATCAAACTGTGCCACATCAGAGGTGGACCACAATGGCTAAGTTCATACCAAAGCATCAATAAAAGGCTGGTGTCTGCTGTGTACGTGTCCTGTATGTGATGTTCCTCTCCTCTGTCCTGTTCATGTGTGCAGGATGGCTCCAGAGGTGGCTGCAGTTGAGAAGAAGGGCGGGTACAACCACCTTTGTGACATCTGGGCCGTTGGCATCACCGCCATCGAGCTGGCTGAGCTCCAGCCACCCATGTTTGACCTCCACCCAATGAGGTGACTCAGCACAGACAGCAGGGACTCCAGCTCAGACAGCTGGAAACAGACAGATTTATTGAACTCAGAGCAGTGAGATAAACAGAAGAGACTTGTGCTGTGTAATGTTTTGGCTGCCTGCTTTATATTTTACTCCTGGTCAGTCACTGCATGTAAACAATTCAGACATTTTCCAGCCCGGTGACATTTAAAACATTGTTTCAGAGCACTGATGTTGATGTCCAAAAGCAACTTCCAGCCTCCAAGACTAAAGGATAAAGCCAAATGGTGAGTTAAAGTGTTGCTTTCAAAATCACATAGCATGCATTAGGACCAATCATTTTTCTTCCTTTGATCTTGTCGATATCTTGTTGATTTACAGTTTATTCACACTTTGTCACTCTTTGCAGGTCAGCAAGTTTCCAAAGCTTTGTGAAGATGGCTCTGATTAAAAGCCCTCGTAAAAGGCCCTCAGCTGAGACACTGCTGCAGGTTAGCAGCTCTTTTTAGCTGATCATTAATAAATGGCAGTTAACTAGTCATCCGTCTTCATATGTGCATTATTCATGAATGCAAAATGTTCTATTTTTGACCCTTACATATCCAGAGAAGTTTGATTCTCTTCATGATGACACACGATAAAGCTGACTGATGTCACAGGTGTTATTTTGACCTCATGATTTTAAAGTTTGGCACTTTGAAAATTTTGCGTGACTTAGCACAAATAAGCTTCATAGCATTTTGTTGATAGCATTTTCTTTTTATTCATCAGAGACACTTTAAAACATCAAGTCTTCTTTCAATTTTAGTTATTTATGTTCAATATGTATTATGGCCCAGTGAGCTGCTATGGCACATTTTTGTCAAAAGCTTTTTTAAATTTCTAATAATATACACATCAGACTATGTTTATTTTGATGTGGGCCTCCTCTGTAACCTCAGCTTAGACTTGTGAAAAATATTTTTGAAGAGATGGCATTAAAATGCAGTTCATTCAGCAGTTCTTTTTTATTTTATTGATTTATGTAAATGGTCTGAATATTATGCTATTTTGCAAGCAGCTAAATTTATGAAAAGTATAAATAGCAGAAGACAGTGTCACACAGTTCCAGTGTGAATCCAAATTTACCCTTAAAGCTACAGTTAGTAGCTTTTATTAAAAAAATAACTTTTGTCATATCTTCTGAAACTGTCTCTTTACTCACACAGCACTAAATGATACAGATAATGCGGAAAAAAAATCATACTCCTCTACGTTCTATATTACTTTGTAGTACTCGTAATGGCCTTACTGCATGTGATGAAAACAACCAGTCAGAGTTGAGGAGTTTCTAACACAGCTGTCAATTATGTTTCAGCAAGTATGACACAAATTTATTTTCATAAAAGTTGCCAACTGTAGCTTATAGCCCCCAGTGGACTGAAAAAGCGATTGATTATTTTATTCTAGTAGGCTACCTAAAGTTTCATTTGTATTTTTGATATCAATAATGTATATAATAAAAAAATTGATACTTGGTCCTGTGTGGCGATATAATATTACCACACAAAAATGTCACGATACCATGCTGTATCAATTTTTTCCCTCACTATTAGTAATCAGGGCCTTAAAGTACAGTCTCAGTTGTCAAGGATCACTTTATTGTTTTGTGAAGATGCACACGGTTGTCAGAGTTTTGAGACATGTACATATGATGTTTGTTAGTGCTGATTGTGTCTGAAGAAAATCTGATTGATGGAAACGTTGAACAGCAGCAGTAAATAAGAGAACTGTGTGTGGACTGTACTTTTGCCAACATGTCTCATGTTCAGTCCAGCACTTGTTGAAGAGTTTTATTTTGGTTGTGTGTACTCTTTTTCTCCATACACGTAAAGTACAAACAACCTCCTGCTGTGGGCCAATGGGAGCGTTTTGAGGCTCCGAACAGCATTCATCAAAAACAATAAGCAATAATCCATGAATCATTAAAATGATTGATAGAAAATGCCAATCATTCTCTGGTTTCAGGATTTGCTGCTTTTTTGTGTGTGATCACTGTAAATTAATTATCTTTTGGTTTGGGACTGTTGGATGAAAGAAAATGTCACCTTGGACTCCGGGAAACTGTGATAAGCATTTTTCACTAATCTCTGACATTCCGTAGACAAAACAGTAAGTCATTAATCATAAAAGTAAAAATAATTGTAAGTTGAAGCCGAATCATGTGAGGTGACGGGCGAAGATGGCACGCTAGACGTCAAATTGGCTCCCCGCATTTCATGACTTACTTTAAAACTACTCAGTTGAGACGAATCTAACTGTCAGACTTTGATAATATTTTTTTGGAAAACTCGGGGATGTCTGGGTCTATGCGCAATACCAGAAATTGCATGAAGCCGCAAATCAAAACTGTGATTCAAAGGTGTGAAACTAGCATAGCGATCTCTTTCCAAAGATTGAAAATTTGACAATTAGTAGGCCAGTTGGTGTAGATTTACCACCATTTTACATGGCTCTCTGAGGACAAAATAGTTTTCTGTTGTTCAAAGTGATGACCTGTAACTTTGTTCCCCCAGCATCCGTTTGTGACACAGCTCCTGACACGTAACCTGGTCATTGAGCTGCTGGACATGGCCAACAACCCTGAGCTCCACACTGCCCACACACACAGCATGGACGACAACGAGCTGGAGGTCAGTACAGCAGGGAGGTGACAGGACTCATACTGTAACAATATTTAATCAACAATGCAGGATTTAAAGTGGTGTAGCAATACTGTGAGCTCTAAATCAAATGTCTGTTCTGTTGCTCACAATAAACAAGTGACAGAGATAAACTGGTGGAGAGAGAAAGTCACATTCAGTGTGATATAAATGATCTGTTGACAGGTCGGGGAACTGGCTCCTGACAAGATTCAGTCAGCAGGGAAACACCTGCCTGTAGAGAGGACCCTGTCTGAAGAACAATGTAAGGACACACACACACACACACACACTAACACACACACATGTTGAAGTAACACTCAGACATGTTGGAAAAATTTAGACTTGTTAGGAGACAGATTTTTCCAGGCTTTGTGTTTGGCTAAACATGTCCTAGACCTTTCGCTGTGCTTAATGCACAACTCGGAATTTCGACTTGCTAGTGCAAATGGAACGCAGTATAAGCACAGCCACACAAAACCACAAGCATGACTGTAGACTTCCCCTGTTACCTGTCTTTAGCTTAGTCTGCTAAGCTAAGCTAATAACGTCCTGACTCCGGCTGGGTAGGTAACACATAGAATATGAGGTCGGAAACCATCCTGTGAATCCATCCTTTTTTTTTTTTTTTTTACACTTTTTTATTATGTTATTTGAGAGTCTCTTTTATGTTAGCAACAGCACAACGGCAACATTATTGCTGTAGGCATCATGCAATATATCCTCGTACAATGCCTCATATGATATCTTACAAAAATGCAGTTTGTATGATATCTAATAAATTAGTGGCCAACAAATTAGCATCTCTAGGTTAGGTTTAAGAAAAGAATCATAGTTTGGGTTGTCATGTTACTTACTTAACGTAAAATTACGTACATAACTTAGAGTTACAGAGGTTAGGTTAAGGAAAGTAAAATTATGTAGGTTAAGTGTAGGAAAAGAATCATGGTTAGGCCTTTACTTAAAGTAAAGTTACATAGGCTATGTTTAGGAACAAGGTTTAAGAAAAGAAACATAGTTTGGCATTGTCACATTACATAGTTAATGTAAAGTTACCTAAGTTAGATTTAGGAAAGTAAGGTTACAATGGTTTGGTTTAGGAAAAGAAACACGGTTTGGCATCATCACGTTACATCACGTTGGGCACTGTCACATTATATAATTAACATAAAATTACATAGGTTAGGTGTAGGAAAGTAAAGCTACGTAGGTTAGGTGTGGGAAATGAAACATGGTTGGGTGTCGTCATATTACATTCTTAAACTGGTCTCCTGGTGGAAAGTCCTGTGTTTGTTTGACCTATCCACCACCCTACCGTGCCTCCTAACATAGACTTTTGCTTTTAATACTACTCACGTCAGCGCATTTATAACATGATTGCAGCCTTCACAGTTACATGGGTATTAACAAATTACTGGCTCATGATTATGTGGGTTATATACGGATTCTGGTGCATTATGTTTCATGTATATATACGAACAGTGCATGACAACAGTCTGCACCATGACATTTATATGACAGATATGATATATTATGAACAGCTGGGCTTTATGCAGCTCTGAAGCTTTTGCGTGTAAATATATCATCCATAGATATCTGAATGATTGCACAGTAATACAGTTTGTTTCTGACAATCATTGTATGTGCCAGTATGCTCGATGGCTGTGCCTATAACTGTATGCATGTATGTCTAAATATACTGTATGTTGGTTGTACTTGCTGAAGAGTGGCTTCATTGTCCGCCATAACCCCCCCCCCCAGTTTTCAGTGCTGTAATCTCCATAATATGAATGAGGACAAAAGGCCCTCAGTCAGCCTGCTGATAGCTGCCCTCATCTGTAACCCGTCCATACATGTGGGATGAAGGCTGCGTCAGAGGATGGCACAGCGAACATGCCATTGGTGTGTGACAGACAGTGGTACTTCTATGCACTGGCTGGAGTGACTTCATACTGCTGCGCTGCCAACAGGCTTCTTGTGGCGCAGATGTTTCTGGTGTGATGGTCTGGTTTCACATGCGCCCCAGCATTAAATCATATATCACCCTGACCTCAACCACCCTTACGTACAGTCTGTCATTCATACACACACAAGCCACAAACACAATCAACACCTGCATCTCAGTCTGACCAATATGAGCTTTGAAGGCTCACACTGCTGCTGCTGTTATTACTGCTAGTGAGATATGTCTGCAGTATAGACTGTAAAAAAGATGGACGTAGCCACCAGGCAAATTAATGTTGTTTTTCAAGTTCCAGTGTGTAAGATTTCGGGGGATATATTGACAGAAACACAATATATAATCATAAGTATGTTTACTTTAGTGTACAATCACCTGAAAATAACAATAGTTATGTTTCTGTGACCTTAGAATGAGCCGTTTATATCTACATAGTATGGCTGGGCAATATTGACAAAAATTCGTATCTCGTTATTTACAGGCTGACTGGCGATACACAATATATCTCAGTGTTTTCTACGCAATGGGCAACATATTTTCAGTTAGAAATCAAAGCCACATTTGATGTCACAGGCAGTTTTATAAAAACAGACTGTGATCAAAATAAAATGCAACAAAACAGTTATACCTCCAAAACACTAGTCGGTGGCAGGGTTTCTGCCTTCAAGTTTAGTTGATTTAAAACAAACCTAAAACACACATTACACACACAACTGTCTTATACTATACACGTTTTCCGAACATATAAAGCTAACATTATGAGCACAAGCCTATAGCATTTTACGTTGTATAAATTAGCCTAGCGACTAGCAGAGATTTCCTCTACTGATATGAAGCCAGAATAAATCACACACAAGACTTAAATGCTTTTTTGTGGGGCCCTTATTGTCTTCACAATTTATTGTTTCTTATCTGTGAAATTAAAGTAAATACAAGCTTCTTATCCACTGTGTGAAATGGTGTCAGTGTACAGAAACAGACAGGAGGTCTGCGTCACTGCGCCGTGTTGTTACATTTCTGGGGAGGTGCACGTCGGGCTACGGCTCTAAAAAGTGTTGCTGGAGAGCTTGTGAGTGTGTGGGGCAGAGCTGTGCAGAGAATATGAGAGAGGAGAGATGCATACTGGTATGCGTGATGTAATACTACTTGATCCTATATCGATATAAACAGTGTTGTCTAAATTTATATCTTGCTTGAAAATATATTGATATGTGGCACATAGTCGTTATATTGCCCAGCCCTACTGCATAGCGAGGAGGTCCGTGTCTACAGAGATCACTATGTTTCTACAGTAGCCCAGAAAGGACAAACCAAACACTGGCTCTAGAAAGGGCCATTGCAATTTGCGTTTTTGCATCGGCCACTGTAGTTAGCAGCCCCTCCGTGACGACACTGATTTGCAATGTAAAACTGCTTTATTCTGTGTTTTCACCGGTTTAAATCACCGGGTCCATTTGTTTTGGAGAGGAAGAGACCTCTGTGGGTAAATCGGCTCACCATGAAAACCTTCTGAACATCTGGATCAGAAAAAAGATGAGCACACATTAGCAGGCACATGGTGAGCTTGCTGGGTGAGTCTGCAACATTTGTAACATCAAACTGCTTCATTTAGTATTTTTACTGGTTTAAATCACTGTGTCCATTTGTTTTGGATAGGTAGAGACCTCTGTGGATAAATCAGCTCTTGGTAAAAACCTCCTGAACAATGAACACTGAAGTAATTCTATCCTTGAGAAGTTTCAGTTGGTTGCAATCTGCAATTCCCACCATTAGATGCTACTAAATCCCCCCCAAATTGTACACACTGGACCTTTAAACAGGCGGTCTGTATTTTTTGACAAATTTCTTGTACAGCTTTTTGTGTTTAGACATCTAACCTTTGTGAAGTTTGGGTATTTTGTTAAACAACAAAAAGGTTTTCAAGAAAAATATGTTTTTCAAAATAAGGTTTTGAAAAGGGAATGGATTAGTACTGCAGCAATGTACAGTGTCAGTGTTAGTTTTAAAACAAGACTACTGCCTCATTTCTTCTGTGTAATACGGCACAGCTCTACTCAACTCAGCTTGTTCTTTTATGGTTTTACATCAGCAAAAGTTGCGGATATAGCAAGCTGAGCCAATGCTAGAAGGTGGAGTTAAAACACTGCAGGCCGCTGACTTGATCAAAGAGAATTGTCACTAGCGTGACATGGGACATCCTGCACAAATCCAATTTTAAATAGCCACGTTACCATCAATAGTGATTGCAATTTTTTAATTCACTCTACCCTGATTTAAAAAAATGGCAGCCCACAAATCTACAGTGTACCCTACGTATACTACACCACACAAGTGCAGACATTCCACTGTTGGTTTCCAGTGAAAGGGTTCAGAGAGAGTCACGCTGAAGATGATGTCAAAGCAGTTTCATGCGGCTGGCTATGGCTATCGGCTAATAATCCCGCCTACAATAAGGGGATACTGTCCCCAGTAGCAAACGAAGTGGACAAAAGGACCTGGTACCAAAAGTGAGTTGAGTCAAGTTGAGCAGTACCATACAGCAGAAATGCAGCATAAGAGTCTACAGCTATGCATGCCAGCAGCTGTGTATGGTTGTATTTAACGTTAGCATGGTGACATAATAACATGCTAGTGTCATTTAGCCTCAGTTCCACTTTGTATAGGAATGTCACTGGGTTTGCAGGTATTTGGTCATAAACCAAAGGTTGAGGAATATTAAAACTCTGACCTGATGATGGAGCCACATGGAAAGTTAAGGCATCACAAAAGTTATGATTCATCCTGAGGGGAGCACGAATGTGCCAGCCTTCTTAGCTGTCCATCCAACAATGGTTGAGACAGTTCTCTCAAAACCACATATATCAACCTGCCAGTGGTCCCAAAGGAAAGGCAGAGGAACGTCACTGAGCTTCATCGTCTAGGAACCATGAACATCTGTCATAGAAATACAAATGTCATAGAAATTCATCAAATGGCTGTTGAGATATTTTTGTCTGGATCAAAGTGGTTGGCTGACTGACAGCCATAGACTTAGAGCAATGCTGCACAGGCAACAGGAAACACACAAATAGTGGTGCAACAACAAGGCAGCATCGTGTTGCTAATAGCATAAAGCTGCTGGCTGTTCAGATATGTTGCAGAGCTTTCTAATCAGCCTTCTCCTACTACGTTACCATGCTGCAACAATTGATCTTTGGCCAATTAAGGACACGTTATGTTGCCTCTGTGATGGAATTTCTATTGCATGTTTCAAGTCTCTGCAAGTTGGTGCTGTTGTGAAACCACTGACTGCTGGGAGGGTGAAAAGAATTCAAGGAACGTCTTTTGAAGTAAATGAAATAACATGCAAAAATAAACAATTTTGTGCAGTCATTACAACAGATATTTTCCTTTCCTTTAGTGTTAACTGTGACAGTTTTTACGTGCATGTTAAATAATTCAAGACATTTTGCAGTTTTCTGAATAGTAAAGAGAAAAACTTGAAAGACCTCTCATAACAAGTTCTAAACTTTTAAATTACAATTATGAAAGGATAGTTTTATCTACTTATGCAGGCCTTCAGCAACACCATGAGAGCTAACTGAGCCGAGACAAGACAGCAACTTCCGCTTTCTGGTTCACTAGTTTCCCCATCCTCTGCTTCACTGTCAAACTGTCAGCTGACAGCTCAGGTTCTCTGTGGTTTCACCTCAAACTGCTTCCTCCTGTTAATCACATCTCAGTCAGGTCATTAGAAAAAACAAGATACTTCCAGCCTCTGCAGTATTGAAGTGAAAATGGAGGTCACCCGGTCTCTACTGGAATAACTCATATCTATTTTGTACATGTGCGTGTATAAGGGTTTTTTCTTCAAAAACTTATGGGAAAAAAGTAGAATATTCCATAATGCCATACATACCCCTGGAAACAGTAGTCTTAGACTCCCCCTCTGGGGACCATGAATGCCCACTGCAAATTTGATAGAAATCTATTTGGTAGTTTTAGGAAACCTTATTGTGGAGAGGCTGTGATCTGTGTAATCAAGAAGAAGTGTAAATGTTACGATGACCTGAGAGTGTCAATCTCTGATAAAATATTTCAACAAAACCCGATGTACTTTGTCAAGTAGATGTTAAAAAATAGCAGTGACTGTTTCATTTTCATATCTTTAAGTTAGCTAGCATATCAGAAGCTTGTGAAAGAAGTAAAGATCTTTTAGTTTTTTTTTTTCCTAACATACATGTGTATACTGTATGTTAGAGTTGTTATCTGTGAATTGTTAACATTAACATTAGCTATTATTAGCCACCACAGCTACTGGTAATACCAGACCAAGTACTGTGGCAGTAAACCACCTAAGTATAATAAACTGAATTTAAAATGTCAGTAAAAAATTTAAATGGGTATTGTCATCGGGCCACATCATGCTAGGCTCACCTGATGTATTGGCTCAAGGTGGTATAAACCAGTCTACCATTGTGCTTGCACATTATTGACATGATAGGTGATGTGTGGTTGCAGAGTGCGTCCTGTGCCTAGCTCCAACTAAGGTTATCAATGCACTCGAGAGTGAGTGCTCATCAATAGTGCATGAAAACTGCCGGATTGTGTGGGACGTAATGGCGTGCTCTTTACTGTCTTACTCTAAGAGCCACAGTTCTGTGTGAATACTGTACAACACTCGTTTAATTCTCATAATGTTTTCTTTGCAGTCGATCAAGTGAAGTTTGGGCCTCCTCTGAGGAAAGTCACTGAGCCTTATCCTGATATGGTAATGCACTTTATCTGTAAGATATTTTTGTGGCATTGCTTTATACTGATGACATACATGAATGTACATGAACATTGCTCTGTTTTCCCCCCTTCAGCAGGGCTCATATGATGATGACTGGAGTCTGTCTGGAGATGAAGACAACTCACCGTAAGACTTCTCTATGTTTTCATCTCCAATCTTCTACCCCCTTTTCTCTGTTGAGAATAATCTTTTTTAGCTGTTAGCTGTTTTGAGATGGAAGAAGAATTAATAATATAAAAAGGACTATCTCTGGTCCTGCTGCATGGATTTTTTAATTTCTCTTAAAACTGTCCATTGTTAGTCCGACCATGTTGTACTCTTTTCAGAAAACTGGATACTGTGTTCCAGTATGGAGCCCCAATCATTTAGATTAAAACAGCTCACCTGCCACTTAAAAACATCTTTATCAAATACTGAAATTATTATATGAAAATATTTCAAAGTGTGCAGGAAACTCTGTCCATTGTTTTACAACTTTTTCTTTCTTTGTGTAGTAACTGTGTAAAATCTTTTCTTGGGAAAGTAAGTGTCATGTGACCTCAATTCCAGGTCACTACATCAAAATTACCAAAATGCCTTTGGGGACTTGTTGGCACTATTGGGCACTATAACACAATGGACACAGTGGATATTAAAATACTGGGGCGTCTCTGTCTAACCTGCGTACATTACTGATAGTATTGATGGCCAAAACTGAGAGAACAAGACCTGAAATAACTGGAATTAGAATATCAGCAGTCTGAGCCTCAGCCCAAATATCAGCACTATTATAGGGTTTCAGAAACCCATAGTAGTGGACCTTTGGTTCCTTCCCTCCCATTGTTATGGGCCATTCAGGCCCATAGTCAGATAAACACCAGGTCTTCCTGTTGCAGGAGCCTGTTGGAATGTGTGGAGCAAGCTCTGCAGCTGAGGTAGGCCACGTCTATCAACTCCAGCCTCTCCTAACAGCAGTGCCCCCCCCCCCCCCCATCCCACATCAATTCACCTGAAATAAACTACTTGTGATAATTATTTTTAGATAATGTGATTATCAGCTAATGCCAAACATGACATAATCAGTGGGTTTATGTTCACTCTCTGCTAATCCCATCCCTAAAGTCCTGCTGTACGTTTTTATGAACTGGGTGTGGACTGATTCAGCACAAACCCACTTCTACCCTGCTTTTTGGGCTTTTTGTCTGCTTTTTGTGGTGGTCTTTCCTCAAGAGTTCTGTTTGTGTGCTGCTGTTACCCTGCCCTCAGCATCTTCAGCATCTGCATTTGTTGTCCAGCTTGTTGCCATAACGCTTGATTTGGATTTCATTACATGAATTGTTCTAAGTTTTATGGTGCCTGATTGGGACATTGTTGCTCCCTTCTCTTTCAGGAGTTTAACCATTAGGAGGGCGCCATCTACTGATGTGAGTGGTAACCATACAACCATACGCTGAAGCTGTGATCCAATTGCATACTGTGTACTGATTCTGTCTTAGGTCTGAGTATATACACCTGAAAAAAAACATTAATTGTACTTAAAAAATGCCTGCCGTTCCTTAAACTTCAAAATCTTTCTTCCCAGCTTCGGACACTCAGTTCTGTTCAAAAGCAAATTGTTATGTCACAGATTTAGAGTATGACATACTGCCACAAACAGTCCAGTCACAGACTCAATCCAAAACCACACAACCCATTATATTTGTGTCTCCTTCCCTGGGTCCCTGGTAGGAATCAAACCTCAGACGTGAGTTTAAATGAGTTCAGCACTGAGCTGCATTTCAAACATAAATAAATGAACTGATGATTTAGTTACTTGTTGGGTTCAGTTTGGCCTGACTCTTGTCTTGGCTGCAACATATTTGATCTTACACAAGTATAATCTTCTCCCAGAAGACCAGAAAACAATTTGGATTAGTGAAAGATTGTTGTGTTGGTGTGTAAGATGTACTGGACACTCACACAGGATATACATAAAGGCATTCATACGACTCCTGCTGGCATGTCAGAGAATGGCTGTGGCTCTGTGGATCCTCACATCTGGATCCTCTTCCTCTCAGCAGACTGTGGTAACCAGTTACAGACTGGGAAGAGTGAGTCGCTCATTGTGTGTTTGAGAGGACTTAATGTTCATAATAAGTTCATAAAGTCATAATGTTCTCTTTTAACAAGAGAGTAATAATATATTAGATTTTAAAAAGTTATGGATGCTTTTCAAAATGTGCATTTATTCATAAAACAAGTTTGTTAAAGAGTAACTTAGCTATTAAGACTTTCAGGACCCAGTTTGAACCGATGTCAATTACTTAGGGCCAGGGACCATTTTGTCCAAATGTTTATTGTAAAAAAGTTGTATGATCTGCTTAAAATGTTGAAAAGAATATAAAGACTTATGAGTGTTATACACATGGCTGACACTCAACGTATTATATTATCATAAAAGTATCCATTTGATTTGAAAAAGCTTGCTCATTTGTCATTAGAATTTATGTGGTAAATACACCGATCAGCCAAAACATTAAAACCACTTACAGATGTAGTGAATAATACTGGAAATCTTGTTACAATGCAATCAACCGGGCCTCCAAATTCCCCAGATCCCAATCTGATCGAGCATCCGTTGGGCATGCCAGCACCCCACCTCACAACCGACAGGTCTCAAAGGATCCTCTGCCAACGCCCCAGTGCCAGACTCCACAGGACACCCCTAGAGGTCCTGTGTCCATGCCTTGACATGTCAGAGCCAAGTCTGATCCAAAAAGGCCCCACAGTGGATCAGGGGTACCCCTGGGGTACTGGCACATCCCATCAATGCTCAATCAGACTGGGACCTGGGGCATTTGGAGGCCAGGTGGATGCGTTGAGCTCTCTGTCACATTCTACAGGCCTTTCCTAAACTGTTGCTGCATGTTAAGTGGTATCCACATGAATACCAGTAACAAAACGTTTCCCAGCAGAACATTGCGTTGTAACAATATGATCAATGTTAATCACCTCACCCACCAGCGGTTTTAATGTTTTGGCTGATCGGTGTATATGTGTGTTGTTGATTTGGCTATCCTGATCTGCATGATGTTAATGCAAGAGGCATTTGGTAAATTATTAAAGTTCACAAAATTCTACTTCCCATGTCTTAAGATTGTTAAGAGTTTTGAAAGATTGATTTAAGACATTTTAATATCAATTAAGGCCTTATTGTTAGGCTTTTTAATACAGGGTTCCCGCAGAACCCTGTATTAGCCTCAACCAACCATTCTTTGTACAACTTAAAATATCGTATGAAATTGGAAGTGTTATCTCCATCTGTAATTTTTGATCTGCAGATTTTGCATAATATTTGCAATTCATTTTTTTTGGACCAACGCATAGTTTTTGTACATGAACAAAGTTATCTTTTGCATCTTTTTTGTATCTTTTTTTCCCAACTGGTGCTCAGAAACATAACATTAGTTCTTCATGGTTCTCTCCTGCAGCTTCATTGGATGCTGTCAGATTGGTTTAAACAAATTCCATCATCTGGAGAATCAAGTGTCAACATGCTGGGAAAGAATAGCATTAATGTTTGTTGACAGGAAATTAATTGATCCGTGGCATGCTTTTTACATAAAACATTTAATACAATAAATAATTTAATCATTGTGCTTAGAGGAAAGTGTCAAGTGTTTTCAAGTCAAAAGGCTCGAGTCCAAGTGATAGTGTTAAAGTCCAAATCGAGTTGCAAGTTTTTTTTTAATTCATCATGTCAAGTCTAAGTCGTCGAATTTCTGACTCGAGTCTTACTCGAGTTCAAGTCATGTGACTCGAGTACACACCTCTGCTATCAGTACTTGAAGATATTTCTCTGTGGACTATACTGTTGGACCAAAAGACCAACTGACACACTGACTGAGCCATCCACACCAGTCAACATTACTCCATGGTGTACACTGTATAGTATTGGTATACAGTATGCAATTGGCTCATGAGGTTAGACAGCATGTTGAAAGGTGACCCTGTTAGCCCCTCAGACTGACTCATTGGTTTGCTGGTGTTTTTCAGGGAGGTAGAAAGAGTGGTTTGTTCAGTCCGTCTACAGCCTCCCTGCCAGCCTTCAGCTCTTTAACTCCCAACGCAGACGACAGTGACCTGACGCTGAGACCCAGCTGCACACTCGGCCCCGACGCTGCTGTCACTGCTGACTCCCCCTCCACTACAGGTACAACACATCGCATCACGTGAATATGTTTGTTTGACTTAATCTAAGTATGCGTGTAGCCTTGAGCACTAAAGACCCACACACAGTCAGGTCTGAGGTTTAACTATCCAAACCAGCTCAGGGCCAAGCTAAGATCACTTCCCCTTCCTGTTTGACAAGTGTTGGCCAGGTGCTCAGCCACACAGGACATCAGACAGCGCTGCAGTGATCCATGTCTGCCAGGAGGGGACGCTGTAACAGTGGAGAAGAGGAAGGTTACCACTGTTTCCTCTCCCAAAAGGGAGACACCACTGTCACCTGAATGGAGCACGCTAAGAAAAAAGACTGAGGACGCTGTGAGTTGAAGCCAAAGTCTCTCATATCAGTAGGAAACATCAATAAGCTTGTGTGAATTGCTAACCTAATAACTTCCTAATGTCTGTCTAATGGTGACAAATCATGCAACCAGACAAGATATTGATTTGTAATGCATCTGATGTATAGTTTTTATTATTCCCTGTGTTTTGTTATGTGTAACCTTTGACATTTCTAGAGGGCTGATTGTCATGGACTTCCTCCTACCCCTCAAGTCCATGTAAGTGTGAAATCTAACAGCATGTGACCTACAATAAAAGCTGACCAATGACAATGCCCTGATCACTAACAAGATAAGCTTCCTCGCATGGCATAACACAAACTGTACTAGGAACAGTTTTTATGTGAAAATCCAGCTGGTGTTTTTATCGCTGCTCCATTCCATCAAATATTTTTGGATGTCTTGTGCCAGAACCCAGTTACTGCTTGCTGGTATTTTGAGTCGCCAATGTGCAAAGTAGCCCAGTGCAACTGTAATAATCATACATGCTGTTTTTCTTACAATGGCTATCATTACAAAATTGCATAAAAAGTCACTATGACCATGTTGGACCATTAGTGATTCAGCTGCTGTGCTGGTTCTGTAGATGGGAGCCTGCTTCTCCAAAGTCTTCAACGGTTGTCCCCTTAAAATCCACTGTGCTGTCACATGGGTTTTACCCAAAACAAGAGGTAAGACAATAATGTCTCTCAATGTCCTGAGTCGCTAATAGATGTGCTACACAACAGAATAAAGTCTGCTTTGCTAGATATCTCATCAACTGTACAAGCAGGAACAAAATCAATGCCCCACATTGACATTATGTTCTCTTTCCTTCTTAGATCAGTACCTCATTCTTGGGGCGGAGGAGGGCATCTATATACTGAACCTTAATGAGCTTCATGAAGATACACTAGAGAGGGTAAGACAAGGACTGATCCATGTATGATCCATTACTATTTGGTTGCAATACAGAAAAATAGATACTTCTGCTGGGAGAGTTAAAATCTTCTTATCCTATAGTTTGTGCTTTGTGGATTGGAGAAGGCTTATCACTTTGTCCTTCAGGGAGTCCTTTTGGGGGTACCGTGGAAATGTTAGGTTGGGGCAAGGTAGTTGCTTCAAGCCATCTGGTCCTTGTATATCTGACATGAGAGCTGTGCTGAAGTTCTGAAAAGTAAGTCAGGCACACTCAAGGTGGTGGTTGGGATCTGACAAGGTGGTCCCATGTCGCCAATTTTGATTTAGGATAGACTTTGTAAATGCAGCAGAAGAGTGGAGGGTGTACAGTGTCTTTTAACACCTCTAATCCGGCGATAGCAATGGCTGAAGGCAGTATATTTTCAGGTTTCAAGTGAGTCTGTCCATACCATTCTCATAAACGTAATATCCCAAGAACACCTTGAGGGAATTTCCTCAAATTTAGCACAGATGTCCACTTAGACTCAAGAACGACCTGATTAGATTTTGGCAGTCAAAGGTCAAGGTCATTATGACCTATGTTAGTTTCGTCCTCGGGAACCCAGTATCTCATGAGTGGCCTGAGGGAATTTCTCAAAATTTGGCACAAACATCCACTTGGAGTCACAAATGATCTCATAAGATTTTGGTGGTCAGAGGTCACTGTGACCTCATAAATTGTGCTTTTTTCCATAGTTAAAAAATTCATGTGGTAATTATGACAAAATTTCACACAAATGTGTATATAAACCAATGAAGTGATGACATGATATATCCAAAAGGCCAAAGGTCAACTTCACTGTGACATCATAATGTTTTTTGGCTATTACTCAACGTCATAACTCAGGAACAGAAGTGGAAACATTTGGTCGGATATGGGCATCTTGAAACTGGGCTGTTTGTACAGATCTTCTGTGCTGCCAGGTTGAAGATGTGTGTGAAGCATCCATGTCTTAGAACATGCAGCTTTTTTTGCAGCAACATCCTTATTTGAAAACTTGTCTGCTGTCATGGCTACGTATGAGTCGGAACAGACATGGATGTTAACTGCAACTTGACTGGTTGGCAGAAGCATACAGCTACAAGGCGGGAAGTCTAGTTGTTGGTGATATAATGCTGCTGTCTTCATCAAACTGAAGAAGAAGTGAGTGTCCTTCACAGGGTAGGGAGGCCGGAGATCCAGACAAACAACAGTTCCTTCTCATTCAGAGGAGCCAGTTGAGGTGATTTATCTTTCTGGGGCCTCCTGGATGCTTCCCTGCAGAAGTATCACAAGCATATCTAACTGGGAACAAATCCCACTGTAGACCCAGAGCACAACAGAGAGAGTACTCCCATCTGACCTTGGAGAAGGTCTTGGGAAGAGACGTCTTGGTTTTTTTCTTTGTGTTTTGAGTTTGTTTTAAAGAGCCATAAGGTTGGGTATCTTTTTCACTCATGAGGATCAAGTCATTCTTCATCTTAAATAAGAACATTCAACTAAACCACCCAAACTGGAGATATAAGGTATAGATGATATTTCAAAACAGTTTAGGTGTGCAGGTGTTTGTAGTGTATCACACACATGCTAAATCTGAACTCACTGTCTTTTCTTTCTTCACACAGTTGCTCCCTCAGCGATGCACATGGTTGTATGTTATGAACAACGTGCTGATGTCTGTATCAGGTAACAAATCTTTTCAAATGTCAAATGAGAACTCCCAGTGCTGAATGTTATCTGCTGCTCTAAGAACATATCCACCCTGCAGGGAAGTCTTCCCAGCTGTATTCCCACAGTCTGACGGCTCTGTTTGAACAAAGAGGACATCTGCAGAAGAAACACAGCAGCCTGTCACTCACCACCAGCCGCTTCACTGAGAGGATCAGCTCCAGGTAGGACAGGACATTAGTTGGACTTTAAACATGTACTGGTGGAGCTGTAGGTGCAGCGGGAGCAATAGTTTCATTCTTGATACAACCACTGAGTGGCAGCAAAGTAATATATTTTTACACCTACACTTAAAGGCTGTAGGTGACAGCTATGTAGGTTGCATAAGACTGTTTTACCATTTTGATGCCTTGAGTTTGACCTTTTTGCTGTTGCAGTCTTGTTTTTTTTTTTTTTAGAGCCATATCACACCTGAATGCTACGTCCACTTCTTTTATACACTCTATGGTTGTGTGCTGTTGTGAGGAAAGGTGTTCTTACAGAAATCTGTGTTCTCTCTCAAGCCACAGAAAGTTTGCCATATCTGTAAAGATCCCCGACACTAAAGGCTGTAGGAGATGTAGTGTAGGTAAGTGATGCAGACTTTACTCTGCATGCGCTGTATGATTATTCAATAATAATGACAGACTCTTACCTTTCTTCTCTCTCTCTCTCAGCGAGAAACCCATACACAGACAGTACATTTCTATGTGGGGCAGTTCCATCAGGCTTGGTTCTTCTGTTGTGGTATGAACCTCTGCAGAAGTTCATGCATTTAAAGGTTTGTACTGACACTTTAAATCGGGGCTATTGAATTACAAATTCAATTTGGCTGGATTTTAAAACCAGAAAATATCGATGGGCTAGACATTTTCAACAGCGAGCAACCTACTGAAAACTTTTTAGTAATGGTACATTTTGAAAAAAGTCACATATCTGAATAAGGAACATCATATAATGCAGTAACAGAATAAAAAAGGGCTATCAATGCTCAGAGGCATTAACAGTAACAAATACCACACACTCTGTCTCTAGCAGCATTTCTCACTCTCCCTCTCCCTTCTCTCCTCCACACACACACATGCACACACCTCACCTCCTGATGTTTTCCTTATAGGTCAGTGACACAGGATATAGTTTTATACAGTCCATGGCAGCAACAGTCATGTTTTTAACAACAAAGTCACTATATAAACTCAGTAATATCTAAACAAATCTAACATGTCAGTAAAATAAATATTCCTCCTGACATCACAATACTGAGTGAAAAAAGTAACGTTATCTAAGCATGAAGACAAACATCAGTATCACTCATTCATCCTGCTCTCTGTCCCCCCTCTACTGAGGAGACTCACTGTCTGCAGGTTGACTGTGTCAGGTACATGTTCAGATAAAGTGCTAGCCTACATACAGACAGCTTTCATTTTAGTTTGTCTTTAACAGTTTGCTGTTAGCCCCGCGAGCGCGATGTGCTGGTGTAAACTGTGACTGTAAACCATAACTGCAGTGAAGGACAGACTGTGGACAGAGCAGATTAACATATGGATTTCTACATGCTGAACATGTGTATAGATAAAGTATTGATAAAGTTATGTTCCCTTCATCTGCACTGTGGCCTCTCTACTGTTCTCTGACTTCACTATGTGTGTTTGTGTGCCTGTGTTTGTGTGCCTGTGTGTGTGTGCTGTGTAGGGGAGATCACCCCAACATGCAGGCAGCAGGAGAGAGGCTGCAGCATGATGATACATGAAACCAAAACTTTGAAGAGTAACAATAAAGAGAGCTGTCAGAGCTTAATAATACTAAGGCCTTGATTAATTTTTCCTCAGGCTGTTTAATACTGGGTCTCTGTACTCATCCCTTGCCGGGCCACTCAGAGGTTGCTTCTGGGCTGGATGCAATTGAACAGGCCTGCTTTAAATGGTCTTCAGTAAAATATAGTGCTCTGTGTATTTTTGTTGTATTATTCCTAGAAGATACAGTGGTGGAAAAAAGTTTTCGGACACCCCATGCATTTGTGAAATATTGCATTAAGAATTACTCTTAGGTCTTCAAGTGCAATTTCTTTTAGTACAGTCACAGCCAAAATACTAAATAAATCATAAAAAAGCCATTAAAAACTTAAAATTGATTGGTTCCATAAAAATACATAAGAAATTTTGAGTATTGGGTCATTTTGGTACCAGTGATGAAGGTCGTTCTTTTTATTAAAAGACACAATTTTTGTTGCCAAGCTTCGTGTCTACATAAAGCCAGCACATTTGAAAGTTCTTCAGACACAAAAATGGCTAAAACAAGGAACCTAACGCAGGAAACATGCCTGAAGATAAAGATTCTCAGCCAGGAAGGGTACAGCTGCCGCCAGATAGCCAGGAAGTGCAGATGCAGTCCTTCAGCAGTTGGATACACTCTGCAGAAATACAGACGAACCAACAGCTTGGAAGACAAACCAAGATCTGGGCATACAAGGGTTTCTTCAGCAAGAAATGACCGCATCCTGATCCGCATGTGCAGGCAAAACCGCCGAATGACATCACAGGAGCTTCAGCAGCAGTGGTCAAACCAAACTGGTGTCCAGTGTTCCACCCGCACTGTACGTGGCCTAAGGTCCTGCAAGGCTATCAAGAAGCCCCTGATCAATGAGAGACAGAGGTTAGCCCGGCGTCGCTGGGCCCAGGCACACAAGATCTGGACAGCCAGGAATTGGAAGAAGATTTTGTGGTCAGATGAGTCCAGTTTCCAGTTTTATCTTCCTCCTACTAATGTGAGGATACGCAGAAGGCCAGGTGAAGCATTATCTCTAGCATGTACAGTACCTACTGTCAAGCATGGTGGAGGCAGTATCATGGTTTGGGGATGCATGAGTGCTGCTGGTGTTGGTCATCTCACTGTCTGTGATGGCACATTGAACTCTACCAAGTATTGTACCATTCTCGAAACCCACATGCTCCCTTCTGCGCGTGCACTGTTCCGTCGAGGTAAAAACTGGATGATTCAACAAGATAATGCCCCTTGCCACACATCCAAGGCCAGTAGAACTTGGCTGCAGGAGCACAGTATCCAGGTCTTAGAGTGGCCAGCTCAATCCCCAGACATGAGCCCCATTGAAAATCTGTGGTGGATTATCAAAAGGTCTGTTTCAAAGCATAAACCAAAGAATTTAGAAGAATTAAAAGCAGTAATTCAAGAAGAATGGGACAAGATTACCCCTCAACAGTGTGAAAGGCTCGTGGGGAACATGCCAGCCAGGATTAGAGCTCTACTACGTGCCAATGGCAGGACTACTAAATATTAATTTGATGATGTGATGGTTTATTTATTTTTTGTTCAGTTTTGAACACATTCTCTGTTATTTGTTGACTTTGATACCGACAATGTTGAGAACTGACATATTGAAACTGTCATGAATTTAGTTTTGTTAGTTTTTCTTGTAAACAATAAACAAAAAAATATAATTTGTATTTGTTTGTATCTGTTTAATGCAGCCACACCTTTTGAAACACAAAAAAAGATTTTTCCACAAATATTTCATGATAATATTTGAGACTGTGTAAAATTTTAAGGGTGTCCGAAAACTTTTTTCCACCACTGTATATTATTGATTCTAGACAGTGTATTTGTTCTCTTGTCCACAACAATAGCACCTTATGTGTGAATTGTTTCAGGAAAAAATCCTGGTGAAACGTTAATGATTTGTCTTTTCATGTCACACTTACCAGAATTCAAAATTCATTGTGTACTTTGTATGATGTAACCTGACTCTTCCTGTGTGTGTCGCTTTCTGTTTGTGCTACAGCACATAGCAATGAGGCTACCTGACCATCTGCCGATATTTGAGCTGCTGGTGTTGGTGTCAGATGAGTTTCCCCAGCTGTGTGTTGGTGTGAGAGACTGTAGTAATGGCAAACGCCCAACCAGCGAACAGCTCAAGTTTGATATTATCGAGCTGAACAGCACACCTATTTCAACCCCAGGTAGGACGGACTGCTGTGTCTCAGCTGCCTCTTTATAGAGCTCAGCTTAAAGCTTCAAATAAATTCTCTTCTCCATCTCTTTGCGCAGATAGCGGAGCACTCAAGGCAGTACAGGTAACCCAGCTGGACAGAGACACTGTTCTCATTGCATTAGAAAGTAAGTTTCTTCCATCTAAACACATGATCCAAATCCTCCAGTCATCTTCAATACTGATTCATAACTTACTGTATCTCAATCTTGATGCTCGTTGGACAGAAACTGTTAAGGTTGTGAATCTCCGAGGGCTTCCATCCAAAGAGCTGGCTCCTGAAATGGTCTTTGACTTCCCCATTGAAACTCTAGGTAGATACAATCATGTGATAAACACAGCAAACAAGACTTAATGTTCCTGCTGACAGCTGAGTGACATGACATGTTCTATCAGTCTGCTTACAGGATAGTGTTCTGGCTTTCTGGAAGCACGGCCTCAAAGGGAGGAGTTTTCATTCAAATGAGGTGATTACCTTCAAGATTTCTGTCAGGCTGTGACTGAGCTGATGTCATACGTTTGTCTGTCAGTCATATTCATTTTTGTACTGTCTCTATAAAAGGTGAATTTCAGTCATTTTTTATCTGCAGGTGACCCAAGAAATTACAGATGAGAGTCGAGCATTCAAAGTTTTGGGAACAAACAGGTATGCTAACATTAATGTTACAATATCAATATCATTTACTGGTAAAACAATGGCAATAATAGCACCAGTGCTGGTAACAGTCGAGTAAATAATTATTGTAGTAACAGAATTAGTAGTGGTGACAGTAGTCATTTTGTACTGTTTGTAGTTGTAATAGGAGGAAAAGTAGCTGTAGTGGCATAGACTTTTTTTAAATAATGAACATAGCTACCGTGATGTCATCACTGATTTGTGGACTCCAATTTTGAAGCCTCGAGTTTGGCATTTTGGCCGTCACCATATTGGATATTTGGAACTGGAAGTGACCATATAATATTTGAACGAGAGGGTGTAGCTAACCCTAACTCTGGCTGCTAGCTTGGTTATCATGTTGCATTTACAGCTATGGTTGACTGTGATAATGCTAATGCTAATTTTTACTAGTGAATAACTGTCTTAAAACCGCTGAAACAGAATGTAGGCTACTTACCGGAAAAACTGTCACAGACATCTGACTGCTTAGGGAGTCTTTTATTCAACCAAACACTGAACACGATTTTTTTTGAGGAGACCAAAACATTACAGTTAACTTTCATGAACTGACAGCACACTGTCCCCGTTGTAGCAACTTGTCAACAGACAGCTCCCACCTGTCACTCAAAGCAACCATGCCCTTAATTGTGCATAAATTTAAGCTGTAATAACATTTAAACAGGTGAGTTATACACCCCTAACCTAGAGACCTAACCAGTTTGTTCTGCCTGTCTGTTTCTGTTGGGTGTTTATTTGGTGTTTATTTTCTCATGGAGTCACCCTAGAGTGGCCATTAGATAAACTGCAGTTTTTTTGCACTTCTGCACTGGCTTCATTTTTTCAGCCCCAGAGGTTGCCACTTGGGGAAGTGCCTTAAACCTGCATTCTTTCTAAAGGCCAGCAGGGGGCAACTCCACTGAGTCCAAGAAGGCTTCCGATGTCTAATAAAAACTTCTAACTTGATGTATTACCTCGGTAAACATTTTTCTAATGAGTTTATGAGAACAAAAAACAGTCTTAGAACATAAAACAGTCCTCTTAAAAACAGCATGATGATCATTTTGTAAATTATGGTCCCACTGAGAGTAAAAAACATGTTAAAGCAGCTTATGTTTTAAGGCATGGTTATCTTGATTTACAAGTTGTTCAAGGAATAGTGTCACTTCTGGTTCCAAAAAACAAGATGGCAAAGGCCAAAAGGCCAAAATGGAGGCTTCAAAACCGGAGTCTACAGGCTGATGGGTAACAACATAGTGGTTAGATCCACATCTTTCATACAGTCTTAAGGTCATACCAGACCAAGAAGGAGCCCATTTCTTGTTTCTGTGTCTGCAAGGATCCACTTCGGTCCATGTGTCGTAAATGTCACCATCCACCCATGTCCGGGTAGAGTTCGACTATGTCCACATGCAGCCCATTTTTTGTGACCTTGCGGGTTGTAGGCCTAGCAAGTGCACTAACTGTGCTTGCTCCAATTCCTTCCACACTCCAGTCTGTTCCAAAACTCTGCTGTCAAGCCAGCCGCAGCCATCTCACTGCCATGAACTTAGTTTTAAGTTAGATATTTGACATTCACTCTGGATCCAGCAGCATCTTAATGGTTTCACTTTCACCCGATGTCAGCAGTAGGAGGACGGTAAGCTCACCACTCAGCCCTCCTGTGTATTGCTGGGGGCTGACACAGACCCTCAAATGTACTGTGAATAGAACCGCACGTGTGTCTGCATGACTGTAGCTATCTGCGGATGTTCAGTGTGGAAGGTTCAGTGTCTGATCCTTAAGGCCGTAGCAGCAAAACCCTTTCAATTTATTGAACTAAGCACCTCTAAATCCCAGATTTAGATACTGTATCACAAGCTACATCACAATTTGGGCAAGCTCTGCATTTCTTGGTTATGTTTGATTCATGTACCCTGAATGAGCTATGAGTTTGTTCCCGCCTTCCTTCTTGACTGTGTGCAGGGACATCATCCTTCAGAGCACACCAACCGATGACCCCTCAGCACTGAGCAACCTGTACATCCTGACTGGACATGAAAGCAGCTACTGAGAGGAGATGTACCAACTTCTTCAAAACTCACACTGACGAGAAATGCAGATCTGCTCTATTACCCCGTGGTGCAAACAAGGTCCTCCTTCACTGAAGCTGTAACAGACACTAGCAACAACTTTCTGGTCTGAGTGACACATGTCAGTATGGAATTCAGCTGCCCGTCCAGACTCAAACTGAAAGACGTTGGGCAACACATTTACAAGAGATTCGCCAACACGCTAGGTGCGTTTTCTAACTCTTACATTTGCTAAATAAAGCTGCAAATGCCAAGATTTCTTGTAAAAACAGTTCATTTTACCAGCTTACATCACAGTGTGACTGCAGCAGGGAAGACATTCCTGCTGATGGAGATGCTACAGATCAACTGCTGTCAGCATGGACCATAGACTGTAGAACAGCATGGACATAACATTTGACGGGTGGCACACAAGTTTCTGAACTGTTTTGAAGCTTTCCTTTAGGTTTACTGCTTATGACTGTTTTTGTCAGTTACTGGAACCAGATGATTTGGTCGGATGAGAGGTGTAAGCTGCATACCCCACAGCTGAGTGTGAGAGGCTGAGGCCACATCCACACTAATAGGTTTTAATTTTAAAACAGTGTTTTAAAACAAAAATGATCTCCGAAGGCACAAGCGTTTTAGCACAGTTTCAGAAATTATCTCTGTCCATATTGACACACCTGAAAACACACATCATATGACCCTTCACCTACACTGGGTATATGCATGCCAGTGCAAACAGGAAGCAGATTGTCTGCTCTGTTGCTTAGTTACAGAAAATACAGAGATGGTGAACAGTAAGACCATAGATTTCTTAGCTTGGACCAACGACGAGGTGGAACTGTTAGTGAGAGTAACATGAGAAAAACAGATTGGGAGTCACTGAGCAGTATCTATCACTGTACGATGTCATGGTAATGGGAAAAGAGTTCCCACACAAGAAGGATCAAATCACAGAAGTTATGAGGACCTAACTATAACGTTTTGGCTTGACTCATCACTGATCCCCAATTGGGAAGTGAACATGGGTGTCTGCATCATCATTTTCAAAAGCCTCCGTTTCCACCTGTGTAACCTCAAAACCAACCCCTGAGTTCTCAAATAGGTCAGCAACGTTTTCAAAATAGTAATGCATTCTAAAACAAAAACGTATTAGTGTGTGGATGTAGCCTGAGACTCCTGTCAATCAGTCACAAAAGGAATATCGATCCTCATGATTGCCACAAAGACGCACTGGAAAGGAAATGATAAAATTTAGGATATTTTCAAGGGATTTCTGTGGAGTCTCATGCTTGTGGCACCTAGTGACCATTGGTGCAACCACAACTGAATACAGTTGCTCCACCACTCAGGGGAGCAACATAGGGGTTGCTTTTTGTTATACACACTGGTCTGTCCAAACAGTAATGCTATCGTTATTACCACTTTCTCATAAATGCCATTCACGTCAAAATTGGGGTCATGATTATAACTAGGAAACCAGGATGTTTTTGAAAGAGCATGGTATTTTTAAGCCTCACACAACCTCCTCTGTAATCTCAAGTGTCCCGAGTTGTCCAATGATATGAATGCTCCCAAGTTGTAATAGAAGTCTCTCCCATCTCTACCATCCATCCCATCAGACCTCAATGTCAGAACCAATGACTGTATATAAAGATTGAAAATGGCCCATGTCCCATCTGCTAACATGGAGGGGGCAGGGCTAATGAGCTATACTGCAGCCAGCCACCAGGGGGCAATCTAAATGTTTTGGCTTCACTTTTGGGAAGCCGTCATGTCATCCATCTTTATATACAGTCCATGCCCAGAACCCATCAGCTATCGTCTGATGATGATAAGCCTCAAGGGGCGAGGGCCACTATTTCAGGTTGATGCGATGTAGTCAGCAGATTTCCATAATTCAGTTTATAGAGATGTATAACCTGAACTTGACAGAACCAAAGAAGCACAAAGGAGTTCTTCCTCACCCTCAAACAGCAGATATGATTTTTTTTTTTTTTTTTTACTCCTTCCACGGTTTGGTGTTTTGATAAAAGGAAAGGTTTGGTGGAAAGTAGCTTAAAAAGAAGACAGGGCCTCGACTCTATACAATTTCCCATGAAGCAACATGTCAGTGCATATTACAAAGAGTGTGTGTAACCAAGCTAACTTCTCAAATGTATACTTATACAAGACTCTTGTCAGTCTGAAATTCACATTCAAATGTATTTTGAAAATTGTGAATGTGCCAGTGTAGCAGCATTTAGGCTATTATTATTTACCACCATTTTGATAAATCCCATTCAACTTTCTGAATATGAAGTGTCCCTCCATACAGTCAGTTACCCATTGGTGCCAAACACTGTGACTCTATCCCTCTTCCCTCAGCTTTGTTATTAATTCAGCTTACACATAGGCTAAATATACATTTGATTACATGAGGTGCCATAAAACTGAATTCAATTAAATTGTACTTCTGCTTGTTTGACTAAAATGTAAATTCCACTACATTAGAGTGTTGTGTATCATGATATTTGTTATTTATAGAAAGGGAAATGTATAAATAACACTCATCTGTCCTTGAGAGATACTTGAAAGACATACATAATATGCAAATAGATAATTGTTTTTTAAGATGTTTTTATTGTTACTGTGTATACATTTTAAGTACATAACAATGCAGTGTGCTCTTATGGTATTGAAGGGTTGTAAAATACGCAATAAAGATTTGAATATCCTCTGAAGCTAAAGGAGATATAGGTATGTTTCATTGTCATTACAAAGGTTCACTTGTAGCCTTAACAGAGGTTTGGTTAGGTGTCACAATACAACAGTCGTAGATAATGTTTGTGGTCACCTTAAGTGGGGAAACTCATACTGATGCTCCTTAAACAAGTTACTGTACATGTGATATCAAAGAAATCAAAATAAACTTTATTTAACATTTCTGAACTGAGAAAAAGCGACATGATGATATCTATGATGTTCTATTTTGTCTGTGTGCTCTGACAATTGTTGACCCCAATTTAAGTACACTCTAGAATACCTTGATTACAAGTGTTTTATCTTGTAAATTTGTAATATGTGTCCTATGATTTATTTTGTTGTCAAATACTGTACATAAGCAACCAAAAAAAACAGCAACTCAAAAGTACATATGAGGCTATGAACACAAGAAAAAAAAGGTCTACTTACAGAAAGTACTTTTGTTCTTTGCTTATATGACTGCAGTCTCATAATAGCACAGAACTTTGATCTTTTCAAGGCCCAAAGCTGGGCCAGGTCATTAAAATAATTTAATTGTGCGGCTCTTCTAGACTTTTGAAATGTTATTGGACCCATTGGATGAAATCCTCATAGTGGTACATGTCATTTCATGGGATTTTTAAAAAACATGTATTCACTTATTCACTCTTTTCCAATGTAAATCTATGGGATTAAGTCTTTTTGGGCCCTGTAGCATCATGAAGTTGTACTTCCAAGGTTTGGCCACTATGCTGAATTGGCTTTAAAGCCTGGCGCTGTTCCCGGGGGCTAGCATATAGTAAGCATTGGTCTGATCCTAATTTCTGTCAGATGTTCTGTATGTGACATTCATAAAATAAATACAGCAAACGACTATTTGGTAACTAAAGATAAAGTGGAGTAATGGTGCCTGAGCATAGAATGAAGTCACGCTCCCTCTGTGTGTGTTGTAGTCTGAGCTTCGCTGTGGTTTTCATATGGTGAGCCAGTCTGGCCACGTGAGCATGTTAGTGCATGTGTGTATCCTACTGGCTAGCTCACTGCTTTGCACTGCACTCATATGGCAGTTACTGCTGACGTGGGGACAGAGTCATCACCGGTTACCCCTGGTTAACACTGTTATCTCTGTCAGCACTGTTGCCATTGTTAAGTTCTGTTTATGGAGTCAGCACAATTAACTGTCAGACAGTGGCTCAGCCACTCCCATGTTGAGAACGGTGTCCAGACAACTCATACCCTCTGAATTTCACATAAAGTCCCTTTAAAGATTGTTTTTATCAGAACAAAATAAGGTTGCCAAAAAATGTTGGCAAAATCACTTTCAGAGACATTTTACGTGAGGCTTACTTTTAAATGAACATATGGATTAGATGTAATAGATGTATATCTTTTTCAAAGATACAGTAAAATTACTCAGTGCAGTGGGCATGGTGTATTATTACAGTACATACTCCCACCCGGTTGGTGGCGGTATCGAAACAGGATATGGAAGTTGAAGGAACGGAAGCAGCTGCATCACGAGCGTTGCAGCGCCATTTCACTTTTCATTCATTGGTATCGAGGCCTACGTTGCCTAATTGGTGAGTTTGAGAATATACAACCAAAGCACGTGGCTTAATGCGTTTTATGAAGTTAGTGATGCAAAACTTTTATTGAAGCGTTGTGCTAGATGTTTTCTGAAAGGCCATGGGCAGAATCAGAGGGCGCAGATTAACTAGGAAGTGGTTAGCTAACATTGGCTAACTAGCTAGCTAACATTAGCTTTCTGGCACCGTACGCTTTAATTTTAGAACCATTAGAACGCCATTACACTCAAATATGTATGGACGTGAAAGCATTGTGCTGTGAAAAATATTTACTTAATATTTGAGACAGCGAACGAGCCGTTCAGAAAGTAGCGTCAAGCAAGTTACTCTGCAAATGTAAATATACGCAGTAAAGACCAATAACGTCACTGTTAGCTAGCTAGTTAGCTGTGACCCGGGTGTTTGCAGGTTCTGAAAAAGTCTTATATCAGACCTTGAACGCCTGTAAGTAGTCTTAAATCTTGATATTAGTGCTGTCATTGCTACACACTACTTCATTGCAGTTATTGAAATGTATTAAACATTTTCTAGTCATGTCACAGAAGTCCACCACACAGGACTGTCCAACCATAATAAACAAATCATACAACCAAACCTTACATGTTAAAATAACATAATTTCGCAAATAATCACAAATCAGCTCTAGAATTACATAGATTTTTTTTTCTTTAAATCATAGTTTATTTAGTCTATTCCTAAAATAGCTAATTGAAGGAGCCCATACCACATCCTCTGCAAGCTCACTGCATGCTTCTACTGCACCAAGTGTGGAAAAAGTTATTTCTCTTTTTAGAGAAACACTTTAGTGGGAATAATTAGAAGGAGTTCCCTCTTAAGTCATACATGTTACTCCAAAATTCGATGATAGGTTAAACCATTAGATCATACATTCTATGAACAAGCTGTTAGATCTCAACTCTGCTACTCCTGTGTCTCTTGTACGAAAGGAGACACATTTATCCATCTTGTAACAAAAAATGTACAAAATTATTCAGGCTGTGCATCTGAAAGTTAACATTTCTGATGTCACTATTCTTCAAAACCTACCACTGAACCCAATACTGTCTTCGTAAATCATATTTTCACCTCCTTCTCAGCAAAATGTAACTCACCCTAATAATAACCATATTCCCACATAAAACCTGCCTCTGCATAGGCCTACAAATATACCACTTACCCACAATACTTGGGAAATAAAATAATGATTTGTCCAAAGATGATTTTAAAATGATCTTGAAAGGTCTGAAAAGCATTCAGTTTAAGTGTCTGATACCTGCAGACACCGTGTGTGACATATTAACTAATATACTACCAACTAATATAGGTTAGCAAATGGGAGAAATGAGATGATGTGAAATGGCATACATCTGACATATCAATCAGCAGTGGTCTAAATGAATTGTTTTCCTTTGACACAGTCTCATACAGGTGTTTACCTAAAATTCATGCAGTCTAGTAGACTGCATGAATTTTGTCTCTTAAACAGTTTAACTTAACATTAATGTTAAGTTAAACTGTTTAAGAGACAAAATACTGTCTAGTTACAGTCTAGTTAACTAGACTGCATGAATTTTGTCTCTTAAACAGTTTAACTTAACATAATGTTAAGTTAAACTGTAGTGTAATTAACAGCATGCATGTATAATTATACATGCATGACTCGTGATGGCCCATCAGCAGATGGAGACATGAAATACAATACTTTTTAATTTATGTAATGCTCATTCAATGGGCAAAATAAGAGAGAGCATGTTGGCTGATTCTGATCATCCCTATCATTATATATTGGTTGTGGTTATACAGTAGTAAGTGACATATTTTTCTTAATCTTGTAGGATACACAGAACTTCATCATGGTGAAAATATTTATTGGCAACCTTGCCTGCAATACGTCACCTGAGGAGCTGCGGGAACTCTTCGAGAAGTATGGAAAAGTCTCAGAATGTGACATTGTCAAAAACTATGGGTTTGTACATATGAACAACATGTCTGAAGCAGAGGAGGCCATCCGAAACCTCCACCAGCACCAGCTGAATGGCTGGCGCATGAATGTGGAGATGAGCAAAGGGAGGCCCAAGTCCACCACCAAACTGCACGTCAGCAACCTTGGTGAAGGGGTCACCGCTGATGTTCTACGTGCTAAGTTTGAAGAGTTTGGCACAGTGGTGGAGTGTGACATAGTGAAGGACTACGCCTTCATTCACATGGAGCGAGTGGAGGATGCTATGGATGCCATTGATAAGCTGGACAACGTGGCCTACAAAGGTGAACTCTTTGGCAGGGGAGAGCTTGTTGTCTTTGCTGTCTGTAGCTACGAATTTGGATTCTGTTCTGTTGCTGTAGAGCTCTCATGACAAGTAAAATCCACTGGCTTTTATTCTTCATTAATTGACCTGGTGGACTGAAAATAACCACTTTTAAGTTTGGCAATGTATCTTGTAAAACCAGTGGCAGTGTAACTGGTGAACAGGTACTGGCTTAAAATCTCATGCACCTGGCGCGGCAGGCTACTCCGCTCTGCTCAGTGATTGTCGGCCAAATGCATTTAACGTGTGTTATAGTCGGTTAGATCCTTTTCGTGTCAGAACCCCATGGTCTCATGCGTGTCTTCTCTCTCCTTACAAGGCAAGCTGATGAGCGTACAGCTGTCCACCAGTCGGCTTCGCACTGCCCCGGGAATGGGAGATCATACCGGCTGCTATGTCTGCGGGAAACATGGTCACTGGTCGAAAGATTGTCCTGTCGGTCGGAACGGTAGCCACGGTGACGGTGAAAGAGGTCGCAGCGGCCGGGGCCCCCCACGCGGTCCCCCGGGTTACGGCAGGGGCAGCTACGGGATGGCCTCACCTCCAGAAGCTGATTACATGGGTGGTTCTGCGTATAGTCGGGCTAGTTATGGCCTGCCGCCTCCCCCTCGCAGGCCTAGTGGTTACGGCTATGAGCTGGGGGATCGGTACGCCAGTAGAGCACCAGGCTCCTATGCTGAGAGGTCATCAGCTTATGATCGTGACCGTCTCTATAGCAGTGTTGACCTTTATGAGAAGTACAGACCTCGCTCTTATGGCTCAAGCTATTTCGAGGAGCGTCGCATGTCCTATCTCCCCCCTCCCCCACCTCCCCCTTCCTCCCTCTCAAAGCTTTCCTCCAGTGTAGATCCATATGACCGTCGGCCTCCAGCTTCATCGGCCGCCGCAGCTGCCGCATACTATGCACGAGACCGCAGCCCGATCAGACGAGTACCAGTCTCCTCAGCAGGCTACGCCTATGAGCGAACACGGCTGTCACCGGTGTCAGGCTCCAGGAGTTCCTATGCTGTCGCACGACCCAAGGATCATTATGCGCCGCGCTATGCGCCTTACTAAAGCCATGGTGCCAAGGTGAGCAACATAGCAAACAGTATATGACTGTTAATTTAACCTCTAAACAGTTGGACATTTAACTGTGAATCGTAACTGGTCTGTGGGCACTGGGATCTCGAAATCCTTTTTAACTTTTTTAGATACTAAATCCTTTAAAGCTGTGCTGCGGGCGATGGAGATTTATACCCGGTTTCTGAAAAGAGAATTTGCTCTCTTTCTAGGTCTGTTTGTCAACTGCAGGACTTTTCCCTTTTCCATCGGTCTGCGTGATGTGTGGCGAAGCAAAGCATATGAGATGCGGAAATTAAGATCGGAAATTGTGCCGGCATCTTCCAGGCACCTGGGATGCCAGTTGCCTGCGGATGAATCGTCCTTTCGCTTGCATTCACATAACCTGTTTTCAATAAGGATGATTAGCAAACTGCACTGTTTGACATGTATGATGTATAAAACAAGAATTTGCTCACTTACTCTGCAGGTTTTCAGCTCAGTTTTTAGCCATGTCCTTTTTTTCTTACCTGTGTTTCTTCCTCACATGGAGCACATTGTTAAATTCAGCAAATGTTAATTGTTTGGCTTCTATTTGTTATTTAGAATACGTGTTGCTGTTTCTTCAGTATATGAAAATGTACCTTTCTTTTCAATGGAATGAGGGTTAACCCATGCTGTTGCTTGTAGTACAGAAGAATCTTATCTTAGCCACATGTCTGACATGAACTTAGTCAGTTATATGGATGTGGATAAAGATAAATATTTTTTTCAAAAATGATCATCATTGGTGTCTATCAATGTGCTGTGAAGGTCCGTGACGCTTCAGGTATGTTTTGTTTTAGCTAAGAATACAGACGTTGCTTCCTTTATGCTTGTAAGGGTGAAACACTCAGTAAGGTGGTGGGAAAGAAAACCTGCAGTCTTTGCCCTCTGTAGCACATGAATGGACTCAATGATTCACACTGCAGAAAACAATACAGGAATTAATCCATATTAGGGCTGGGTGATATGGAGAAAATCAAATGTGATTTTTTTTGGATACCATATAACTGTCTTTTATCTAATTTGACATTTTGCATCAGTTTTTCTGTTTTTCAGTTTTTCTTCTCTAGAATAGTAGTTGCCATTGACTGCACAGCACAACTTGCTGTGTGTGCTACTGTCTTAGAGCAGCAAAGGAGAACTGAAATATGGGAGAACATTCATTTTATCCACATATAAAACTACTTTTAATTTTAACAAATTATGTAGTGTCGGTTCAGTTTGTACACTTGCATACTCACCGATAACTGATCCAGCATTTTAGGCAACATTGAAGGCATTTCCGATAACAGTATATGAACAACTGTCAATGTAATTTCGATATATTACCCAGCCCTAATCCATATCCATGCAACTGACCTGGCTGACACAGAATCACACTTTTGCTAGCATCTATAGTAAGATAAATAATCTCAAACATTCCATCCTCATTTTTTCTAAATTGATGTGTGTCTACAAAATGTAGAATTGATACATTTTTAACATTGAATGAGGTGTCTGCTGGTCATTTTACTTTTGAATTAAAGTGGAAACAGACATTTCCCCCTTTGCGTTCCAAATTTATATTATTGTTGGTGTAGCTGTTGCAGAGACCACCACGTTGCTTTCCATTTTTGCCTAGCAACTGCTACTATTTCCGTAGGTATTGGTTGTTCCACCATCTGTCACTTCCACTACTGGAGATATTAACTGCAAGGAACTAAATATGGTACTCTTTGGTAACTGGGGATAGCTACCGCTACCTACAGTACCAGGGAAATCAAAGAGCTATCCTTTTCCTGTTTTGGTTGCCCAATGGTTGATGCACTTCCCTTTGTGCTGTAAATGGAGCTCTTTTTCCCAGGAGATTGTACCTGATGGCAGAGAGAATTGCATAGCGAAAGGAAGGCTAATCTAAACGCTAATGGTATTATTATTATAAAGCTATTGTGCGATTGACATTTACTTCATCAAGGTAAGTTAAAGCACAAACCTTGTCTCTTTCCACTTTAAAGTATAATTAACTGACAACAAAACAAGAATTTCAGCTGACATGCACTGTGCAACTAAGTAACATCCACTGGTAATGTTGCACAGTTTAACAAGAGAAATTACCCAGTCATCTCTCGAATTTAGGTTCAGGATGGATGTTCATTGTATACAATATGACACAGCATCAGCAGCAGTTACAGAAATGTGAAGCAGGACTCAGGGCTTGGGTTGTGTAAGTCATTAGGCACCTGTCTTTTCTTGAAGGTGCCTTAGTTTGTTTTGCATTTAGGTGGATTTAAAGTTTGTATTTTTCATACTAGCTTTTAAAGTACCAGCATACATTACAAATCTAAAGTGAATATGATTTTTAATAAAGCCAAAATTATTTTGGTGACATTTTGACATTTTTCAGTTCTTTGTTTCAAACCCAGTTTGAAGTGTGGTTGTGGGTGCGGTGGAACTATTCACTTATTGAAGTCACAGTTAACAACTTTGTAAGAGTATTTAAGTTGAATTAAGTGATTTTTAAGGTGGAAGCCTACTTCGTGCGTGACGTGTTTTTTTTTTGTTTGTTTGTTTTACAGTTTCTGGCTATGATATTAATTTTGTAATTTTGGCAATTGTTAAAAAAAAAGTCTTTTAAACCTGCCAGGTTTGGGGTTCAGAGAGTTTTTAAAATAAATGCAAAGTACGACCATCTGAAAGTTGTATAGCCCTCCTCTTAGAAAATCTATTATAAGTGTATGTAATCATGATGAAGGTTATAGATTTTTATAATCATTTTTGGTAATCAAATACTTGCTTATATTTGTGCATAAGCTAAATATTGCCCTTAATTAGTTCTAGTCATAAATTTGATCACCATTTGAGAAATTACTGTCAGAGCATGGCATACATGGTGTGGCGTTACCTGACAAAAGAATTTGTACTGTGTAAGAGTTAGGGCTGCAACGATTAGTCGACTAATCGATGACTAATCAACTATTAAAATAATCGGTGACTATTTTAGTAGTCAACTAATAGGTTTGAGTCATTTTCATAGAAAAGTACTATAAAAGTACCCCAAAATACTCTTATTGCAGCTTCTTTTGTTCAGATATTGGCAGCTTTACACACTCTCCCATGATGGTGAACTAAAACCCTTTGGCGTGAGTACGAAACAAGACATTAGATGACGTAATTTTGAGGTTTGGGAGAGACAGACCGACATTTTTCAACATTTTAACACATTTTTCGATAAAATGATTAGTCGACTAATCGAAGAAATAATCGACATTTTAGTCGACAATGAAAATAATCGTTACTTGCAGCCCTAGTAAGAGTCGCCATTAAGTCCTATTTCATAGTTTTGTATGTACAATATTTGATCCGCGGTTCTCCTGCTCTGTCTCATCTCAACATGGTGGCATAGCTTTTGGCGCTGCTACGTAGCGTAATCCTTGCCGCGTGCCAAATTTTTTCCTTGGATGGCGAAGACATGACCCGCCCTGCAATCCCTCTGAGTGGCTGGCACTCGTTGCCGTCTTTTCTTGGATTGGTTAGGTTTAGCGGGTTAGAGTAAGAATATCAGGATAAGCCAATCAGAGACAGAGAAGGGCGGGTCGTACCGTCACCATCCTAGGAAAAACCGGAAACTCGCCTCCCTCCCCGAGGATGCTAACCCAGTTAGCTGTGTTTTCTACGGTGTTTGGCTGGTCACGAACTGGTAATGTAACGTCAGCCGAGAAAGCGGCAGCCATTTCATTCTCCGAGGGACAGGACGCACATTGAAGCCTTAAAACGGTAAGAATTCAAATTTCACATAATAAACATAAACCAAAAAGTATCTTGGTTATTAAAATTAGCACCCCAGTCACGAATGCAAGGCCTGTAACAAATAGGGTTACTGTGAAACCTATGGATAAGCTAAGCTCATATCCAGACTAGCCTTAAATGTGCAACGTGCTTAGTTAAGGTTAAAACCGTGAACAAGGACGTTAAATAACCTTGCTGTCGACTTAAATCTAACACAGTGGTCTAGGTTTATGTGTTGACTCTTGCCACTATTTTGATAAGTGAGCTAACGTTAACTTGGCTAACGTTACTTTTGTAAGCTGCTAATGAAAGTAACTGCAGAGCCACGATGTGCGGTGAATTGGACTAGTATGGTGTGGGATATCTGTGTTTCTTTGTAAAGTAACTGTTAGAACGTTAGTTGGTAGTGTATGGCCTATCGATACTTGCTAAAGATAATGCAAATCCGTTTCGCAGACGGTATATACAGATAACTACATATAAACTAACTAACGTTAGTCATTATTGGTTTTGTGTTTACACAAAAATACAGACTTTTCCTCTTGCTACGAAGTTACGAGCTCACCACAGCACTATCGCCACCAACTGTTGGGTTGTATCCTAAATGAAATTTAACTGCCGTAATCAAATAATTGATGGAGCAGCATAGCGGAATATGTAGTATATAGTGGTAAGGTTATAATCTCAGGTTACAATCGAATGTAAATTATACTGCAGATTTTCTATAAACAACCAGCCCCATCTAGTGTTAAACCATAAAACCATAAACATTTGGTACGCTGTTGTACGCACTAATCTTCCACATATTAATGGTTTTACTATGTTACGAGGATAGTTTGAGAGTTGTAATATTTCTGTCCCGCCAGCATCTGTTAAAGATTTGAGTGTTTTTTGCAGTCAGAAGGATCACGAGTGATAGGTGGAAAAGCATGTTAGCTATGCTAATTATTTGAATTTCAAAACTTACCCTTTGATGTTTTAAAGTTTAAAGTTCCTGACAAAATCCTGGATTTGTCCACTCTTTTGTGCATGCTGGATAGTTTGTGCAAATGGTTTATTTTTGGCCAAATTTTACATGAGAGATAGAATAAAGTGACTTTTATGAACTTCACTATTACAAGCTCAGATTTGATTATGTTTTTTTTTTCTTTTGGAAGGAATTGTTGCATATGATGTGTTCGACGACAATTGGAAATTTGAAATAAAATAATAATTTCTGTTTCTGGCAATGATAAATGGTGCAATTTTGACATTTTTTTAAGAAAATGTGGGTTTAGAAGGTATGCTTTCTTAAAAAATTGACAATAAAATAAATCAATCAATCAGTTTTATTTATAAAGCCCAATATCACAAATCACAATTTGCCTGACAGGGCTTTACAGCATACGACATCCCTCTGTCCTTAGGACCCTCACAGCGGATAAGGAAAAACTCCCCCAAAAAACCCTTTAACGGGGTAAAAACGGTAGAAACCTCAGGAAGAGCAACTGAGGAGGGATCCCTCTTCCAGGACGGACAGACGTGCAATAGATGTCGTAAATACAAAACACAACAATTTAAATTTGTATGCTCCACTCCTAAGCCATAATAGAAAAACCTTAAGTCTTCCACAATGCTTAAAAAGTTATTTGACATGCCTCCCCATTTAAAAGTAACAAACAGTTCCTTACTTGGTGCAAATGGGGAGCCTATAAAGAGGCTCAAGGAAAAATATTTGTAGCGCAGGAGAGGGGAAGAAAAAAAACAAACAAACAAAAAAATCCACAGCCACCCCCCTCCTCTGACAAGTAAAGAACAGGCCCTTGTGCCTGTGTATCTATGGATACAAATTTCTTAATGTTTTTCGTCATTTGGACCACTCAAAGCAAAGTACAAAACTGATACATTTTAGAACATTTAATAGGGTGTCTGTATATTATCAACAGCAGCATGGCAACTATTTAATTTACATTATCCTTTGATCATTTAAACAAGAGAGAAGTTTGATGGTTGACTAAATTAAAAAAAAAAAAAACAATAATAATAATGGTGGTTTATTAAATGTTGTGTTTGTGTACCAAAAAAAACCCACATTTAATTTCAAAAGAAGTGAAAATCCTCCTTACATGTTACATTTTGTTACATTTATTTCCCCAGGTGAAAACCAGCTATGTAAATTCTGTCATTGGCATATTTTGTCTCACGTTTTGGAGTTGTTAAATGTGTGAGAGGAACAAAAAGGTTAAAAAGTGGGAGAAATGTAAAAGGTAATCTGGTATTTATCTTTTGAAGTGTCCTTGTTGAATTATGGTTGGTAAAAACACAGTTTGAACTTGAAACAGTAGTCATAATAAAAAAAACGTTATGACCCTGAATCTATGGTAGCTGTCAGATTTATTTTTATGGGATTAAAAAAATATGGTGGTGCATGAATGAGTCCTAAAACCCAGAAATTAGTTAGCATTAGTACTCCCGGTTCCCTCATCTCAACGTCAGTTTTTTTTTTTTTGGTTTGTTTGTTTGTTTTTTTTTATGGGTTTTTTTGTTCAGATGTTTGAAATAAGGTCTGTGGTTGACACAAGCTTTTGAGACTTTTGCATTTTGTTTCACAGCATAAAAAATGTCAGTAAATACCCCACTTGTAAAACTTTAGGTGTCTTAAGAAAGGCAGTTGCTAACAAGTAGCTGGGTTTCTCACACATTGATTTATTTGTGGTAGACCACCATGATTAAAATATCTGCTGCCACATTTTGATTTGCTATTTATGGAGCTGTTTGAATCTGTTTATATACTGTTCGGATATTTTTTGCTCCACAGACAGAGCAACTATGCCAGACGCAGTGAAAGCGAAACTTAATCTTAAGTGCACTAAGTTTGCTTTCACTCACAAACAGCTGCTCCTCTCACTCATTGATCTGATTGGATTGGCTCAATAGTTACTGGATTCAAGTTATATCAACAGGTCAAAGTTTAAATCATTAGAATTATGGTACCAATAATGTTGGTTTCTTGTCCATCCTTAGTGACGTGGAAGCTCCACAATGGTGAAAATATTCATCGGGAATCTGTCACCAGACACAACATCAGATGAACTTCGCTCTCTCTTCTCCCAGTATGGCAAGATTGGAGAATGCAGTATTGTCAAGAACTTTGGCTTTGTGCACATGGATGACAAAGCAGAGGCAGAAGAAGCCATCAGCAACCTCCACCATTATGAGCTGAACGGCCAGCCTATGAATGTAGAATTGAGTCGTGGCAAGTCAAGAGGATCCACTAAACTACATGTTGGCAACATTGCCTGTACCAACCAGGAGCTGAGGGCCAAGTTTGAAGAGTTTGGTTCTGTGCTGGAGTGTGACATAGTAAAGAACTATGCTTTTGTTCACATGGAACGAATGGAGGATGCGATGGAGGCCATTAATCAGTTAGACAACACGGCTTTTAAAGGTGACCTCTTGGGCTGGGCTTAATGGGGAGTTACCGGTATATGGAAGATGTAGTATCAAGAATATTTGATTCTGCTCTTGTGAATTAATAGGTAAGATATGGATGCACCGCAGGTGAGTAAAAAGAGAGAGATGAAGGGATAACGGTAAGCTGAAGAAAGTAAGGGACCCTTTATTATTTTAAAGCTGGTATCCGTAATGTCGTTGGTAACAGCCATTTGTATGGAGGATTGTGGTAAAACAAAAAAGACTGACTTGTCAGGTCACACCTGTTCTGCTTGTTAAGGCAAGTACAGTCAGTTTAAAGGAAGAGTAAGTGTTTTTTGAAGTGGGGTTGTATAAAGTACATATCCACAGTCAGTGTATTACCTACAGTAGGTGTCAGTTGGCACATACCCAGTTTGGAGAAGCAGGCAGGAGTACCACCACAGAAACTAAGCAATGTACTGCTGTGGACAGGGGCAGCAGCAAAATATGTTTTAGCCCCGTTGAAAAAAAGATCATTATCAGTTTTAGTGTATGATATGTTGAAAATAATTTCACCACTCTACCACACTGTCAGACAGCTTGTTGCGACGCAAAAGCAGTTAACTACTTAAGTTCCTCATCCATGCTCTTGTCAAACCCACCAGACTCGATGGACAAAATATGTAATTTCAGCTTGCTGAACCCAGGAGCTGCTGGCCTACTGCTGCCTTAATCATTTAGTTTGTTAATGTTTCTGTCATGAATAGCTATCTGACTGCAAGGTAAAGCTGTGAAAGTATTCTCAATATAGTGTACAATATTGATTCCTTATAGAAGAAGAAGATATGCTTTTATTAATCCCTGAAGGGAAATTCAATTTTTTTCACTCTTTTGTTATATACACAAAGACCTGAAATACACACGCATGCACAAACAGGACCTATACATGCGTTAAATTGAGAGATGCCAGAAGGAGGGGGGCTGCCATGGACAGGCACCCCCAGTAGTTTGGGGTTCAGAAGGCAAACTGGCACCTCTCCAGCCACCAGTCCATGCTCCATACGAGGACATGAGCTGGCGACTTTTCGGTTCCCAAGTCAAGTCCCTATGGACTGAGGTCATGCTGCTTAAATACATTTTGTTGCTGCACTCGTCCACAGCAGTACATTGCTTAGCTTCCACAGTGGTACTCCTGTCTGCTTCTCCAAACTGTGGGTGAGCCAACTGACACCTGCTGTATGTAATACACTGACTATGTATGATTACCTTATACAACCCCACTATAAAAGATCCAATCTATCACTTCATATTGGAGTTGCTGGTTAGGCCCATTAAGGGCTGGATAAACACAAAAACATTATGTGCATGTAATCAGGTTTATACTGTATTAGATAGATTTTAGGCTGTACGCATGGTTCTTGCACTCAGCAACGTGTGCATATGGCGAAATTTTGATCACGCGGCCCATCACAACTACACGGAAAGTTTGATTTCATTTGTCAAACTTTGCTACCTCCTAACTTTACTAAGTTCAGCACTAGCTGATTCAAATGGCAAGATTATGTGCGACCTTTCCTGACAATGCTGATATCTCTGCTACTGTATGAAGATTGAGTTCTTTTTGCAAGGGCAGGGTTAATGTGGAAAGTTACGGATTTCAGCTTTATTAAGTATTTTTTTTTAATACTCAAATTACTAGCCATGTCTTATTGCTGTTTTTAGAGTATAATGCAGCTTTTTTACCAGACTTATGAGGAGAGTTTTGTATGCCAGGCAGGAAATGTTAAGTATATTATTTAGAATAAATGCAGGCATAAATCCTTATTGAGTGTTTTCTTTTTAAGGCAAACTGATGAGCGTGAAGCTTTCGACTAGCCGCCTGCGCACTGCGCCGGGAATGGGAGACAGATCGGGTTGTTATCGTTGCGGGCAGGAAGGCCACTGGTCCAAAGAATGCCCTCTAGACCAAAATGGCTACCACAGAAACGGCTCAGAGCCTAAGTCTGATGGATACGATGCCTCGAGATTCGGCGGGCGTGCTCGCAACAGGGGTTATCCGGACTTCAGTGGCGATCCGGAGTATGGTGGCGGCTACGCTCCTGTACATGGTTTTTCCCGGGGTTCTGGTCACAGCGGCAGCATGGCAGGGTACAGAAGGGGTTCAGGCTACGAGGGTGCAATGAGATATGGGCCACACCCAGGTTACGGCATAAGCGCTGTTGCTGAACATAGCATGGCTCGGATGTATGGCAGCGAGGCGGCATACAGGAGCAACGGCTCACTCTATGGCGCGGTACCAGGCTACCCGATGCGACGGTCGCCTTATGAGGAAAGGGATCCGTACGGGGTCGTGGACTACTACGAGAAGTACAGGGCCAATTACGGAGGCAGTTATTTTGAGGAACGTCGCGCTGTCCCCATGCCTGCTCCATCAACATCCTCCTCCACAGCTTTAATGAGGGAGCATCTGCCTCCCTCTAGCCTCGACCCCTACGAGTGCCCTCCCCTCCCTCCTCCACCAGCCCCAGTCTCCTCATACTACGCACGTGACCGGAGTCCGATTCGGAGAGTCCCTGTCGAGGCAGATGGATACGCATATGAGCGTTCGCGCCTTTCCCCGGTGCCCGCCCACCCAAGAAGTTCTACCTACAACCATCCGCGGGATCCCGGCGCTGATAGGCCACGGTATACATACTAATCTTGTCCTTTACAGCCAGGTGAGAGCTGTCTGACATTTAGTGGATAGGATAGCCTAAGTGCCATTGGAATCACTGAAAATGAAACATTCTATCTCATTGGTAATATCAGGGGGAAAGTCTGCCCTCTGTGTATGTGAGGCGTTTGAGTAGTAAGAGTAAGGTTACAGTAAAACTAACCAGTCATGATAGCAAATGACTAGATTTCATTGTGAATGGTTGAATGCCCTCATATGCTATGATCTCATTCCAGGTTATACTTTAAAATGCAGTACAGTTAATGCTCAGTTGACCGCTTTTCATTGTCCTTTTAACATGTTGTGGTATTGCTGCACTTCTGAGATGGCTTAGCCCAAATACAGATACTCGGTATAGCTATGATTTGGTTGATGTCTGTTCATGACACTGTAAGAATTTTTTTTCCCACCTGAAAGTAGCTATATGTTTATACACTATTTAGATGAAGTTAATAGAAAAATTAGTGCATGGTGCATGTTTTAGAGGTGAGTCTTAGTCTCGTCAATAAAAATCTAATTTTCTTTCAGCATCTTAAGCATTGTGAATTTTAGTTTATTTGTGTAAGTTCACGTTGTTAACACAAATGTGAAGCAATGGCAAAACAAATTAAAATAATGTATGCTTCATCACTTACATTGTTTAACCTGTGGGCTTAAATGTCACACCTGTACCATATAAGGACCTGCACACTGTAAAAGGTGGTTAGACATTATACTTGGTTTATATCAGACTTTTTGTGAAATTAAGTTGAAGTTTTTATCAAGCTGCATTGTGATCATGTTTTTTTAATCACTAGGTACATTACTTACAATATATAGATTTTCATTGCTGTGATGAATTCTGTATGAGGCTTTACATCTTGCTTCACCATATATTGGAGTGTCATCATAAAATGGCCTCAATTGTCTATGCTGTCTGTCTTGATTTCTAGTGACATGGTTCAAATTAAAATCTGTCTGAAGTCTGAAAACTGTGATTTGATTTTTTGTTGTTTTTTCAGAGTCATCTGGTATATTGTCACATGGCATTCACAGCAAAGTGCAGCAAACAATCAAATTATAAGTTGGAAATGAATGACCTTTTTAGAAAAAAAAAGATAAGGAATAGAAATACCATGTATGATCTGACATATTTGCAACTGATGTAGCAGACATTAAACCTGGACCATACCAACTCTGAAGTTTAGGAGGGTATAATGACATGATAAAACAAGATTACATGCAGTACAGCCGGTCAGACTGTTGATAAAATGTCTTTCTCATTTGGGTATTACTGGCCCTCATTACAATGAAAATCTTTAAAGCATTCATATTAGCCAATATATTAAAATTGTATCTATGTATTGCAATTTAGACGCCTGGAGCCAAGATACCCTGTCAGTGATGCTGGGGATGCTTTACCAGGACACTGTTCAAATTTGTTGATCCTTCATTAAACTGTATTGAGTGCTTGTTCACTTTTTTTCACTGGTGACATATAAAATGCCTTGAAATTAAAGCTTTAAAGGCAATTTATAGAAGTATTGTCATGTGAATGCATAATTGGAAATATTTATTGATTCGTAATTCATATTAATGCCATAACATTTCAGTAGTGGGTAAACTGCTTGTTGTGGCTTGTTACAGATGAGGGGGATTGTTAATCATGAGAGCCAATCAATTTTCAGAATGAGGACACTGAAAGAACCTTTGACCAATAGAATACGGCCTATGAGGAGGGGCTTAGTTTGGCCAATGGAAATGTGTTATACTACAGCGGCTCATCCCACGTCCATAGGATCATCCTTTGTGGTTTTCCGTTGGGCGCCATTTTGATTAAAGTAAGCCGAGAGTGGATTGTAGACGGTACTGTTAGATATTTTCTCAATTTAAACAAATTTATATCTGAGTCAACTGACTTTTGACGGACTCTAAGCCATTTGAGTATACCGAAAATGGCCACGGGCGCTAATGCAACTCCTTTAGGGAAGTTGCACCCCAGCATTGGCGCTAAACGAGGATTTGACGCCGGGCCTGGTGCAGGGAACGGGTTGATGCCAACACCGGGGCCGCCTGCATCCTTTGCCTCTCTACAAGGTTTCCAGCCCCCGATGCCAAATCCATCTTTTCAGCCGCCACATCAGTTCAACCCTGGGCCTAGTTTTTCGACTCAGCCTCCACAACAACCAGCTGCGGGGGGTGGACTGGCCAAGCAAGGTAAGTAAGCGAAACGTCCGCTAACGTTTGAAGCTCTTAATGCGGCATGAGTTAACGCTAGCCAGAAAATGTGGCTAAGTAACGTTATCACGGGTTAAAGGCCTTACAGCAAGCCCTGGCCTTACACGAAATGGAGACAGACCTGCTAACGCTAGTTAGCTAAGACTTTGTAGTGAGTAACTTAGCTAATGCTAACGTTAGTTGGCTTACTTAAGTTTCTATCAATCGGGGTTATCCCTTTTAAGTGAATTTGCTCATTCAATGGCTAATGTTGAACCCAGTGTGAATGCTGTAAGGGCTAGGCTAATAACGTTGGCGAAATTTCAGTTGTGTACAACGTTATGGTAGGACATCACCCAGTGTCAGGTTACCGCTGTGTTATCATGTCATGTTGTGGACAGACTGTCAGTCTGGACTCATTTCACACTAAACGCTGAGTTAAGTTAGGAAAACGGACGACTTCTAGGCCAAGGACCCCTCAGCTAAAAGAGAGACAGAGCAGGGACCTCCTACAACATATATTGAATGAAATTACGTTGCGTGGTAAAATGTGCCTACAATAATATGTAAGGCGGTCACAATTGCCACTTATAAATAAATAATTATTGGTAGATTCATATATTTATACATCATGTTTGTGTCTGAGATGGACGGCATTTTAGAGTCTCTTGCAAAAAAGATACAAACATATCCATTGTGACTCAAAAGAATAATCGTATATCTTAAATAATAACACAACCAATGGGCCAGTATGTTTCAATAGTAGGTGATTGTTAGCTAACTAGTTCACGGTGCTGTTACGGACAGGTGTCTCACCGCGATTTAATGCTAGCTAGCTAAAGGGGTTGCACAAGGGCTCATGGGTAACAGTTAGCTTGTCATCAGTATTGTGTACTGTAAGTTATTATTTTTGAAGAATAGGCCAGTTTGTTTTTTCTAATAATATTTTGGATTTGTCGAAATGTGTATTTTCAGATATATTTAAATTTTTGGGGATGAACAAACAAAATCTATATTAAATTATCGATCAATAATTTGGTGGGCCCCCTGCAGTATCCCTGAGTACCCCCTGTTGTAGGCTCCTGCTGTACAACATAGAATGGGCTTAATTTGCCAAATGGGCATACTTGCCTTCTCTAAACCAGGGTTCTGTATGCATAATTTAATAATTAAGCAACCCATACTTATTTCACCTTAGCTCATGTTAAATGATTAATAAATTAAGCTATTGGTGGAATGTAGCCAATAGCATACTTCTGATATGTAAGATATTATATTGCCACAAGGGCCCCTTTGTGCGTCTTTGTGTCCCAAGTTAAAAGGCTGGTATATAATTAGTCCAGGTTGTTGTGGCTACCTGTGGGTAGTTACCTCTATCGATACAGAAGGTCATGTTGAGCAGCTCTTGAATATATGTTCATCCTGTAACATTAGGCATCAAAACTACAACCAACATGGATAATATCCCTGGCTTCTCTTGGTAGATTTCTGTCAGAAGAAATCAAGGAAGAAGAGTCGTTGGAGCAGCGAGACACCTGATCAGAAGACAGTCATACCAGGCATGCCCACTGTCATTCCCCCTGGACTGACCCGAGATCAAGAGAGAGCATATATAGGTAAATAATTAATCACAATAATGAACCCAGTCTCTTAATAATTAGCTTTACAGTGTAACTGTAATTATAAATGCAGTTTTGTTTCATAATATGTCTCATCAATTACATCTGTTTGATGTTCTAGTTTTTTTTACATGGTGCATACCAATGTTACATTTATGTCCTATTTGCTGACTTCCCAACAGTTAGAGCTCTCTGAAGGCACCCACAAGATGCTTTACTAACTTTAAACTTATAATCATATTTTCAGTGTTTTTGACAGTGACATTACTGTGTTACACAAAATGGGAAATGTCTAATTTTGCTCCAACTGTTGAGACAAAGCAATCACTTTCAATGATAATAACTTGATGTACAGTGTTGATTAAGGTAATTTCTCTTAAATGCAAGTAAAGTGGTTTTGCTGTGGAGATTGTATCTGTGGTCTTATGGTTTGCATACCATTGGGCACCCATTAGCAAGAGGAGTTTGAGATAGATGATTAAACACAACTGCTTGCTGATATCTGTCCTGAGCTGTAGGTCACTGCTCACTGTCTTGCTTGATCCCCCTACACATCATCAGTATTGTTCCTGTGCATGGAGGCGTTACTCATAATGTCCTAACATGCTAAAGTGTGCTTCTCTTTATATTGGTCTAAGTGTGAGCAATGCTGCTTCAATGGCAAATCAATTCAGCATATTTAAATGACTAAACCAGTTGATTTAGTGGGAAATGCAAATTGGGAAACACTTGATCTCTGTTCTTGTGCTCTTATTTTGGCCCATTAAAAAAACATAATAAAACAAATTGTTTTTAACTATAAAATGCCTTCCAGCAGCAGTGTAGCACCAACATACTGCCTTCATAGGCCCTCAACGGGGTGTTCTGAAGCAGATAAGTCCTTTTTGTCAATAACTGACATCGTTATTGATTCTGTTCACTCATTGGTAATGGTTGTTCTTCCTTGGTATGTAAACATTCATTTGTGCCCACCTTCTGTTGGTCACATTTATCGTTTCCTTTGCTCATTCAGTAGATCCCCTAAAACAATCCAAGGGAAGCGTTTTTAAGATGAAAATTGCTGTGAACTACAATTCACAGGTTCTGTATTCATCTCTATAATCCAGAGTAATTGTTTCGGTGACCAGTGAATCTCTGTGTTTGGGGGGTATTTCATTACAGCTTTCATAATGTGCATGGGATGACTGATTTATTTTTTCATTGCCTTCCAAATGTAAGAATTGTCTATGTCACTGCTGCCCCTCAGTGTTAGATCTGTGGAGTGCAAAGAGTGACTATGATCACCTTTTTTTGTTATTGAAACGTGCAAAACAAACAGACCGATCAGTGATTTTTAGACCCGATGTGTCCTTTAAATGCCAAAGCCGTTAAACACAATATGCTGCAGCATGTGAAGCCTTGTTTTCATGGAAGAAAACCACCTGTTGAGGTTAAAATTTGAATGGTTTGGCAGGCATTTTTAGGAATCGTGGTCTAGACATTTACTGATACGTCGCCATGTTTAATCATTGTCTGGGAAGGGGTTAGTCCGGTTTATGCTAATGTAAATGACCTCTAGAATGTATGTGTTCCTCTGATGTCCTCAGATATGCGTAAGTGGTCTCAATGTTTTAGAGTCTTACCAGATGTTCATTGATCTCCCTTTTTATTTTTTATTTAACAGACTCACCATTTGTCTTTACCTCAGTAATGTATGAGACAATGCTCTAATGTGCAGAGCGTTGTCTCTCTGATTTTGTTGTGGTAACCACATTTCTCTCCATCCTTGTTTTTCTTTCCTAACCTGAATTCTTCCAGTCCAACTGCAGATTGAAGACCTGACTCGTAAACTGCGTACAGGAGACCTGGGAATCCCTGTTAACCCTGAGGACAGGTCGGAAAAAGATTAAACCCATGAACAGTAACATTTTCTCTACCTTCTTGACTTTTTGGAAGACAATTGTTGATTTTCAGTGTGTATGTGGTTGTTAGCCTAAATCTCAGGTTGCGTAGTAGTGTTAGCTGGCAGAAGTAGTGTTTAGTTAGCTATCTCCTAAGTGAAGGGTTTTAGACATCAAAAATGTTTTTCACTGTCAAAGCCTAGTGCCAGAGGAGACTTGATCTCCATTAATATATTTATGTAGCTCTCAGACTGTTGACCATTCCATCACCAGTAAGGATAC